GAGAATGACATGCTCAGAGAACTTCATGGCACTTTAAATCTGAGTCTTTCGCCCACTAAATCAAAGTGCCTCAATTCACTATTTTATCTTGTGATCTACAGTCGTGCAATCAACCGTGTTACAACACCACTGCCTCCTTGGCTGAAAACACTACTGCATGCAAAGAGTGTGCCAGTCTAATTTCAAGGCTGTGAATGTGGTTGGAGCCGAACATCTGCAAATACATTCCATCTGAAAATGATGCAGGGCAGAAAGTCTTTGCACTGAGATGCATGTGATGCTTATTCACTGCTCCAGATGCAGCAAGTGCTATATTGGGAAAGGCCAAAGCATGGATCTCCTTATTTGGAAAGAAGTACCATTTACCCTGTTTAATGTTAGGAAAGGATGCAGAGCTAATGAGAAGCAAATCTCAAACCTATTATACCATTGGAAGATTTGCTTTGAAGAAAGCTCCCAAATCATTGTAGCATGTACTTAAGGACACAATCATATGCAGCTTTAGACAAAGGCCTACAATGCCCAGTAAGTCCTAGTCAACCTTGCTTGTTTCTATCTAAACATGCCAAGGACTGTGCCTTTAATTTTGTAAGGCTTGCTTTGAGCCAATAATGGTTGTGCACGCCCTTTCCTTTCTTTATGACAGAAGTATCAAACTTCTTGTAGTCTGTGGGCTGACTTCAATTTTGAAAGAGGTTATTGAGGGCCAAGTTCCAACAGTGCAAGGTAAAAGGGCCCAGGAGCAATGCACCAGTGTAACATTTTAGCTTAACTCTCTTTTTAGCACAAAGCTAGTAATTAGTCCTTAGGAGAAATATTCCAGCCTTTTAGAATAGGGAAGAAACTGCACAAAAACTAGTAAGTCACTGAATAGCTGGTGGTATGAGAGGGGAAAATAAGGGGAAGGCATGTAAGGAAGGAGCATGGTCATCAGGGAAAGCCTGGAAGACCACGTGAGCTAGATTTTTTCCCTCAATCTGAAGCTCCACACCTCTGCTCTATGGGTATTCTCTGATTCAGGAAAACAGGATCCTGATCCTGATCAGGATCAGGATCAGGCCTCCCCTCGCCTCGCCTCCCTGCCTCTCCGGAATTGCATTTCTCCATACATGCTGTTCTTCAATATCTGTTAGTGTGTCTTAAGTAGATTTAATTAGTCAGAGGATAGGCATTTCCTCTCTGCAATGCTGCAGGCCCATAAGATCTTTAAAAAGGTGGGCAGGAAGGGACAGCAGTGCGGAAATACCCCTGGAGCAGGGCTCCCTTTTCCTGTGGCAGGATTTTACTTGACTCAGCACTTAGAAATGCAGCCTTGTGCATCACGATCTTTCACATCATTAGACTACAGCTTTCTAAAATAATGCACTGTTCTATGCCAGCTGCGCAGAGCTTTAAACGAATGATACTTTTTGTCTGAATGCATGCTTAGTGAACAGCTTTGGAAATCCCCAAAGGCCAATAGTGCAATTAATTAATCTCTTTATCCTTTACAGATATTCTCAGCTGCTGTTCTCCCTTCAGCTGAAAGCATAGGGCAATTTATAAACCACAGCCATTTATTTAGATATCAATACCCTCTCTCAATGTTGATATCCCAAACATTAAAATGAATGCTTTACAATGAGGAGATGAGTCTAACTGCCCCATTCCTTTCAGTCATAAAGTAATTGTCAATAAAAGCAATTAGGTTTGTCTTACAGAGTGCATTCACCCTTTTATTCCCAGGGTATTCCATCCCTCTCAAGTGCACAATATCTTTGGAACACTAAGTATATCAGCTGTCTTTTTACTGCTCAACAGGGAGATCGGTACAGCTTCCATCCCACTGGTAACTAACCCTCCCAAATAGTCTGCCAAGCTGAGTAGCCTGCATCAGGTGCTGGGAACTTTTATCACCCAACCCACTACCCAATACTACCCATACCCAAGCTGAGGTAGGTGGTCCCTGGAGTTGTGTGGAAGACCCGACTGGTGGTCTTAATGGACTTTGAGGCTCCCTTCTCTACACTAGGTCAGAATTTCATGGCTTCCTTGATAACCATGTTTTATATTATATATCAGACTGAGCCCATATGGCAGGGTATAGTTTGGATTTTCTTTAACAGACTAGGTCAGCCAATGATTTCTCTGCTCTAGGGGCCAGATCATTACCAGATCAAGTCTGATTTCAAATTACCTGTAACCTCTGCAAGGAAGGAGGTTCATTTTGGATGGTTCAAGTTTTGACCATTCTGGGAGATTAGTAGGTGCTTGGTCAGTTCTGCCCCTTGGCTTCTGGCATACAGCTAAGTGCCAAATTATTTTTGGGTGGGTAGCTAAACCAGGCCACAGTGATATCAGAAGCCCTTTCCCCTCTGCATTTTCCTTTATGTGTGCTGGAAGAAGTAACTAATTCCAGGCCTTTTTCAGGATGGATAGACTCAAGCAGCATTGAGACACCATGTACTGTATCAGAATTGGGGAAAAGGGCTGCTTTTATCACTACCATTTTTTCTATTGCAGAGAAAAATGTTGATCTCATTTGTTAGTTCATTAGTTTAGGATTAGCGATCTACTGTTTAGGGAAAGCACAGACCATTTTTGATCCACCAAGCTCAATGCATCCCACAGAAGCAAGGTCAGCCAACTGTTTCTGATGTCAAACACAGGTGCAGGTTGCCAAGCACCTGGCAGGCCAAAATTATGGCTGTTGCTTCCTTAGCTACGTTGATCATTGACTTTTGGCGATTAAACCTGTATGTGTGTGGGGGAAGCGGGGGGGGGGGAGCCTCTCTTGAAGGTGCCACAGAAAAGATGGTTTTTAAAGATGGTTTAAAGGGGGGGGGGGTGAGCTCCTTTTATGAGGGCATCTGCCACCCACAGATTTGTGTGTACTTACATTAAGATGGATCCATTTAGAAAGAGCCCCATTCATCAACTAAAGGCAGTCTAGCTTACTTGTCTGCTCAGCTGTGTTTTGATTTCATGGTTCACAAGCTACAATTTGCTACTCATCCCACCTTTCAATAGTCTTCCCAACAAAAAGAAATTTTGAGCCTCTTACTTTCCATGCTAACCAAGTCCAATAACAGCTCACATGGAAGTGCTTTGTTTACTCTGACCTACTGTAGGATGTAGCCGTGGACCAGGCAGGCTCTTCTCAAGCTACGGTCAGCCATTAGATGCTCAAGACAGTGACATGCCTAATAAGTTTTGAATTACTCTAACATTTGACCTGCACTGAGGAAATGGCAATGACACAAACACACATCCTGTAATTTCAAATGACAGTAATAACATGTAACCAGACTAAGGCATGAAGGCACTTAAGCTTTTTGCTGCCTTTGTTCTTTTATCTAGCAATTGAAAATGTTGTATTTGCTATTGCACTGAGTAGTGCAGAAAGGGACTGTGGCGCCATTCATATTTCAGGTGATCTGTTTAACATCCCACATAACATTACTATGTTGAACAGAATGAAAAAGCAAAAAACACAGCAAAACCCCCGTACCTGCTGTTTCAGTTACTGTAGTTTCGCTTCATGGCCTGAAAAATGGGATTTCTTTTGGAGTTTTGCAGCCTTGTGCAGCCCACTGCCTACCTAAGGAACTCTCTTTCCTGGCTGCAGCTGACTTGGAATGGTGTGCTATCCCCCTCAGTGAGGGTGGGGTGGGAGCTGAACTCTGGACCAGGTGTGTGGTTGTATGTGAGGCTTGCAACATGACATAGGAGGAGCTCTCCCGAAGTGAATTGCACTCCAGTCCATTGGGTCTTGTTTTAAGCTGAAGGTTATTCAAATGGCAAAAGAGGTAATTGTAATGTAGCTCCAGTACATGTATGCTCAACAGTATGAAGAGTTAAGCTCGTGTGTGTTTGTGTGTGTGTGGCGGGGGGGGTGCTAGAGATATACATGGGTTTTCCATTTTTGCAGGGGTCTTGTACCCCTAACCTCTGTAAATGTTGAGGGCCAACTGTATAGTGTTTGCTACTATCTGCCATTTCAAACATCTGCTAGAGAGCTTGGAACCTATCCTCCCCATGGATATGTGAGTTCTATTTTACTTGCTTTTTCTCCCTCTTATACGGATCGGTTCATTCAATGGCCCAATTCACAAGGATGATCCTTAGTTAATGAACTGTGTAAGTATGTGAAAATAAGCTTCTCTTGCCCACTCACCCACTTTCACGTGGCTAAACAACCCAGGAAGGCCTCATTTCTGGGTTACTGTCATAAGGGGCAAACCCACTACTTATGGTCAAATAAACTTTAGTATGATCATAGGATTTGCTATCAGGTTAAACTCCTGGACTCTAAACAACCCAGAGCGCCAGGTCCATAATACTAAATCGTGGAGTAGGGTTGCATCTAAACCAGCCAGGTGTACCATTTGTCTGAGCACTGCCAGGTACAGCACGTAGTACCATGTCTATCAACAGCTAGATGGAATTGAGATTCAAAAACAGGGTATTAATTTCCTGTTAATTTTAGTACCTCAATGTCAAAGATATGTTGTCTCAAACTATTACAGCTATCATTTTGACTATTAGTAATTGTTTGACCTGCTTATCTAAAGCAGCTATTCCCCAATCTGTTGGCCTGCAGAGCCACTGGACTACAACTCCCAGTATTCCCAGGCTAGAAAGCATGGAAGTTGCACTCCAGCAAATCTGGAGGCAAGCAATTTGGGGAAAACAGATCTAAATGCTGATTTTTTACTGCAGCACCCCACCCCTCAAACCAAAGGAGACAGAACTGTGCTCTATAACACCAAATTGCTACAACTAGAAAGTCCAGTAGCTGTTGAAGATCCACAAGGCCAGAGACTATAGCAAACACAGTGGAGGTTGGTGGATATCTCACAAGTTCTGGTCTTGTTGGGGAACAGCTGGTGAAAACATGTGACCTTGGGGAAGTTAGGATTCATCTTGAGTTGTCTGCAAAAAATCTATTACCAAAAGGCATAGAAATCAAAGAGTAATATTGCATATTCTTGTAAGATATGGAAGTCATACACCATGGGTTTTGCTACATTTTAAGTTTATTGCAAAGTTATATTCTCAACTTAAATGTACATTCTGAAACCAATGAGTCAAACAAATAATTTAGTACAAGAAATGAATGAAACTTTTCTGAAACAGTGCTGGTTAGCCATAGGGAAAAAAATTTCTGAAAGAATAAATTGGAATATTTTTGGTACTATCATATTGGTATTATCATATGGAGGAAGCAGGGGAAAAATATAACATCCTCAGAATACCATCACATACTTAAAAGTTCCACAGGTGGTGGCTTTAAAGGAATTTTTCCTAGGGTGAATTTCTTTGCTTCAAATTGCCTCAGTTCTTCTGCAGACAGCTCAGTCTTCAGTGTAAATAACTTTTCTGAAGTAACGTTTGTTGGAATTACTGGAGATGCCAATGTAGCACTACTTCCAAAGACATTTGATTGCTGCCCAAATGGTATGTTCCCTGAATTCAGAGGAGAGGAATCAACTGCTGTAACTCCTGTCCCAAACACTGAAGTAGATGTGGTGTCTGAAGAGATTACAGAAACAGATTTTCCAAATCCTGAAAATCCAGATGCTTCAAATCCACTAGGAGCTGCAGAAGTTTTAAATGAAAAAGCTGCTGCCGATGGAGCTGGTTGATTCCCAAAACCAACTGACTGGGAAGCAGCAGCAGAAGCTGCAGCACCTTGAACATCACCAAGATTTCCAAATGCAGGTGCGCTTCCAAATGTGGGTGTACCTCCAGTTGAGACACTGGCAAGATCAGAAGGTGATTTGAAAACGAAGCCTTGAGCACTGTTCTGTTTAGCCACAGGAAAGGCTGCAAGTGAAGCAGACAGGGGAAAAGGGTTTGCTATATTGAGCTTAAAATGGCATACAGAAACACAGAGGCAGGATGTGAGCACTAAGCACCCACATGACCTCCCAAAGAAAATGTATACTTACATGCTGCTCTAAAAGTGGATTGCTGCTGTGTTGCAAGTCCAAATGCAGGTGGTGGTTGACTAAAAACATTCTTCAATTCAGATATCTTTTTTTAAAAAAGGGAAAAAAACAGGTTCTACATTACACAGAAAAATCAGATTGTATTGCTTTAGATTCAATAATTTTCTAAAATACCCCTACCTATTTATTATTTCCTTGGGAAAGAGACATCAACAAGGCAAACAGAGTAAGACAGGAACTTGCTGCACAGTGGAAGCCTGGCCTGTTGCTGCTCAGACCTTTGGTTTCCAACTGGGCCAACCTTCTGCATGACACAGGGAGGCCTGTCTTGACCATCACTGCCTCAGTAGCCCCTTTGGTCAGAGAGATCACACCAGATCTCTATATTAAAAAACCAAACAAGCATACAATAGTGCTGATACCATTTGTTCAGTTTAGGAACAGTGGCAGGTACAGAATACTTGGTGGACCCCTTTACTGTCATAATCACCTTCCAGGAGAACAAAACTAATAGCCATATGACACCATCAACAGCATCTGCCATTCAATATCTCTTATTTACCTATAAATCTAATTTCATGTTGCTAACTACTATGAAAAGCACTGTGACAGAAGTTTTCAAATATGGTAAACTAAACTAAACTTAAAACCTCCTTCATGGATCACTGCCTTGTCGTGGCGAAGGGGCTTGCATAGCTCAATGAAGCTATGAGCTATGCTGTGCAGGGCCACCCAAGATGGACAGGTCATAGCAGAGAGCTCTGACAAAACGTGATCCACTGGAGAAGGAAATGGCAACCCACTCCAGTATCTTTGCCATGAAAATCCCATGAACAGTACCAAAAGGCAAAAAGATACGGTGCGGAAGATGAGCCCCTCAGGTCAGAAGGTGTCCAATATGCTACTGGGGAAGAGCAGAGGGCTAGTACTAGTAGCACCAGAAAGAATGAAGCGACTGGGTCAAAGCCAAAAGGACACTCGGTTGTAGATGTATCTGGGGGTGAAAGGAGAGTCCGATGCTGCAAAGATCTATACTCCATAGGAACCTGGAATGTAAGATCCATGAATCAAGGCAAGCTGGATGTGGTCAAACAAGAGATGACAAGACTGAACATCAACATCTTAGGAATCATGGACAGGAATGGGTGAATTTAATTCAGATGACCATCAGGTATACTACTGCGGGCAAGAATCCCTCAGAAGAAATGGAGTAGCCTTCATAGTCAATAAAAGAGTAGGAAAAGCAGTACTGGGATACAAGCGCCACAATGACGGAATGATCTCAGTTCAAATCCAAGGCAAACCATTCAACATCACAGTAGTCCAAGTCTATGCCCCAACCACAGGTGCTGAAGAGGCTGAAGTTGACTAGTTCTACGAAGGCCTACAGCACCTTCTAGAATTAACTCCAAAAAATGATGTCCTTATCATCATGGGGGATTGGAATGCTAAAGTAGGAAGCCAAAAGATAACCGGAATAACAGGCAAGTTTGGCCTTGGAGTACAAAATGAAGCAGGCCACAGGCTGGTAGAATTTTGTCAAGAGAATACGATGGTCATAGCAAACACTCTTCTCCAACAACCCAAGAGAAGACTCTACACATGGACGTCACCAGACGGTCAACACAGAAATCAGATTGATTATGTGCTCTGCAGCCAAAGAAGGAGAAGCTCTATACAGTCAGTAAAAAGTAGACCAGGAGCTGACTGTGGCTCAGATCATGAGTTTCTTGTTGCAAAATTTAGGCTTAAATTGAAGGAAGTAGGGGAAAGCACTAGACCACTCAGGTATGACCTAAATCATATCCCTGATGAATATACAGTAGAGGTGACAAATAGATTTAAGGAATTAGATCTGATAGAGTGCCTGAAGAACTATGGACGGAGGTTTGCAACATTGTACAAGAGGCAGCAACTAAAACCATCCCAAAGAAAAAGAAATGCAGGAAAGCAAAATGGCTGTCTGAGGAAGCTTTACAAATAGCTGAGGAAAGAAGGGAAGCGAAGGCAAGAGAGAAAGAGAAAGATACAAACAATTGAATGCAGAATTCCAGAGAATAGCTAGAAGAGATAAGAATGCCTTCTTCAATGAACAGTGCAAAGAAATAGAAGAAAACAACAGAATAGGGAGGACCAGAGATCTCTTCAAGAAAACTGGAGATATGAAGGGAACATCTCATGCAAAGATGGGCATGATAAAGGACCAAAATGGCAGGGACCTAACAGAGGCAGAAGAGATTAAGAAGAGATGGCAAGATTGTGTTGTAAGCCGCCCCGAGGCTTCGGCAAGGGGCGGCATAGAAATGTTATAATAATAATAATAATTATACAGAAGAACTATACAAGAAAGAGTTTAACGTCCCTGATAACCACGATGGGGTGGTCACTGACCTCGAGCCAGACATCCTGGAATGTGAAGTCAAATGGGCCTTAGGAAGTCTGAGCAACAACAAAGCTAGTGGAGGCGACAGTATTCCAGCTGAGCTATTCAAAATCCTAAAAGACGATGCAGTAAAAGTGCTACACTCAATATGCCAGCAAATTTGGAAAACTCAACAGTGGCCACAGGATTGGAAAAGGTCAGTTTACATTCCGATCCCAAAGAAGGGCAATTCCAAAGAATGTGCAAACTACTGCACCATTGCACTCATTTCACATGCTAGCAAAGTGATGCTCAAAATCCTACAACCTAGGCTCCAGCAGTATGTGGACCGAGAACTACCAGAAGTACAGGCAGGATCTCGAAGAGGGAGAGCAACTAGAGATCAAATTGCCAACATACGCTGGATCATGGAGAAAGCTAGGCAGTTCCAGAAAAACATCTACTTCTGCTTCATTGACTATGCTAAAGCCTTTGATTGTGCGGATCACAACAAATTGTGGCAAGTTCTTAAAGGGATGGGAGTACCAGACCATCTTATTTGTCTCTTGAGAAACCTATATGCGGGTCAAGAAGCAACAGTGAGAACTGGACACGGAACCACTGATTGGTTCAAAATTGAGAAAGGAGTTCGGCAAGGCTGTGTACTGTCGCCCTGTCTATTTAACTTATATGCAGAGCACATCATGAGAAAGGTAGGGCTAGATGAATCACCAGTTGGAATTAAGATTGCTGGGAGAAATTTCAACAACCTCAGATATGCAGATGATACCACTCTCATGGCAGAAAGTGAAGAAGAACTAAAGGGCCTCTTGATGCGGGTGAAGGAGGAGAGTGCAAAAGTTGGCTTGAAACTCAACATTAAGAAAACTATGATCATGGCATCCGGTCCTCTCACTTCCTGGCAAATAGAAGGGGAAGGAATGGAGGTAGTGACAGATTTTATTTTCCTGGGCTCCAAGATCACTGCAGATGGGGACTGCAGCCAAGAAATTAAAAGACACTTGCTCTTGGGGAGGAAAGCTATGGCAAATCTAGACAGCATACTAAAAAGCAGAGACATCACCCTGCCAACAAAAGTGCATATAGTCAAGGCTATGGTTTTCCCAGTTGCAATGTATAGCTGTGAAAGCTGGACCATAAGGAAGACTGAGCACAAAAGAATTGAGGCCTTTGAATTGTGGTGCTGGAGGAGACTCCTGCAAGTCCCTTGAACCGCAAGGTGATCAAACCAGTCAGTCCTAGAGGAGATCAACCCTGACTGCTCTTTAGAAGGCCAGATACTGAAAATGAAACTCAAATACTTTGGCCACCTAATGAGAAGGAAGGACTCCCTGGAGAAGAGTCTAATGCTGGGAACATTAGATGGCAAAAGAAGAAGAGGACGGCAGAGGATGAGGTGGCTAGATGGAGTCACTGAGGCAGTTGGTGTGAGCTTAGGTGGACTCTGGGAGATGGTGGAAGACAGGAAGGCCTGGAGGAGTGTTGTCCATGGGGTCGTGATGGGTCGGACACGACTTCACGACTAACAACAACAACAACAAAACTTAAAAAAACAAACAAACTATGAAGACCTTTTAAAATATTCCAATTACTCTCACCAGTGCAGTTTTAGTAGATGCATTTATATTCTTCAGTTCAAGTAATCTACTTCTCCACTGGTTAATTAGCTGTTGGACTGAATTGATCTGAAAAGAGTGGTGGTGGAAAGAGAAGGAATTAGGTTCCGCCAACGAAGCAAATGAAAAACAGTTTTTGAACAACTATGATGTAAAAGTATCAGCATGTTCAGAAACAGAAGAACTTCATTACCACGCCATGAGTCAAATACATTTCCTTCTGAAAAGACTTGATCAAAGTCATTCACACTAAAGACACTTACATAATTTTGTGCATCATTATTTGCTCTGCAGTTATAATATTCAAGACGTAACTCTTCTGGTAAAAAGTCTGTAAAACCTGCAGGAAGAAGAAGAAACCAAAATTCTGAAAGAGAAAGAATATTGCTTCTATCCCCAACTATGAAATTATAGTACCTTCATCCCCCTAGAGGTTACATGTTTGTTGCTGAGAGTCAGTCGATGATCAACTGAGCTCAGTCTGCAAAGAAGGAAAGCATTTGATTGATCTTCTTTCAAAAAGCATGATGTGTCACTTCAAAACATGGCATCCAATTTGTTTTCAGAACAGTGTTATTTTATTTTCAGAGCTCCAGGCGAGCTTGTCAATCCATCATTTGTGCACTCAGGGCCAAATTAGATGTTATCTTGACAAATGCACTATCTTAATTCCACGTCTACCAAGGTAACATGAAATGCACAGCAGGGGAAATCGAGGGGTGCTTAATACAATGATTCTTAGCTGAGGCCATATGGCCTTCCAAAAGTGATATACATACCTTGGAAAACATGCAGAACTTTGAGAAACAGGCATTTTAGCCAGCCCTTTCTTCCTATTTGCAATGGCTTCTGACAGCTGTTGGTGAATTGTTACATAGCACTTACCCCACTCTCAAGATAAAATCACTGATTTTAACCCCCAGGCCCTTAAAAGAAGTGACACATAGCAAAGAGAAATCACAGAGCAGTGATTCCACCCACTGGTGTGGTGGTGGTGGTGAAATCAGAAAAATAATGGTCCTCCAGTCTGTTTACAGTGAGACTAAATACGTGTTATAAGTTTTCAAAACAGCAGCAACAACAACAGACAGGCACCACAACAAGGGAGAACAGATCCGAGAAGTGCAATCAGGCCCAAAAGACCTAACGTGAAAAAGTCACCTGATGGCCATCAGGCACAAAGCCCTCACTGCATGTGCATCTCTGATCTACATATCTGGCCTTGTTCTAACTTTTTTTACTTGTAGCTTGGAGATCAATCGGTCAGAATATTGCATCAGCTGCAGTGGATAAAAAGCAAAGAAACCATTCATACTACCCTTTCTGAGCCTTTCATTCCCCTGCTGACAATGCCTCTCAGCTGTTGCCCCCACGGGCGGACTTGTTTTTGAAAGCCTGGCTGAAGGAGGGGGAGAGAGAAAACACTGTCCACTGCAGGGCATTTGCAGAGGAGAGTAAGAACTCCAGGCAGGGGTCAAGATTCGAGCAGGTTTTAGTTCTTCTCCACTGTAAACGATGTATATTCTACCACATTCCAAGGCTAGACATGAGAACTCTTTGCTTCTCACATGTCCTACTAGTCTTCATAGTTGTGATGACAGTATACAAGGCGCAATACAAAGCAAAGTCACTGCAAGTAGGATAAATCACTGAGAAGTGCTTATCAAGCTGGATCCATGCCTCATAAGTATACCCATCTAGATTTAGTTACATGTTGAGATACAGAAAGAAATAAATGAGAATTTTAAAAACAGAGACCACAGCAAAGCCTCATGTATAATATTTATTTTAAAGAGATCCTGCATATCTTTAAGAACTTTTATCATCCTTTGAGGTCTAATGCCAGTATTCAAATGAGAGATCAACCTAGGCAATTAGGGAAATAAAGACAAAACAGTATTAGGGAAGCCTCTACCTGAAATATTAGGCTTTTCTTTCATTGGTGAATATGTGGAAAACATCCATTGTCCTGAAGATTCCCAAATCTCCATGTCTTTCATTATTATTTCACTGGATAAATGATATCAAAAAGCCATAAGCCAAACTAAATTGCAGATATAAAGCAAAGCCTACTTAAAGTAAGTTTCAAGATTTATTCTTTTTAATACAGAGGCAAGTCAAAGGCTTACTGAAAGTGATAAGAAGCAATATGTTTCATAAGGGTGTGATCCTATGTAAGTTTGGATAGAAAAAAGCCTACAAGTTCTAGCATGCCCCAGGAAGGGTTGAACCATAAGAGGCATTCACCAATATTCTTTCTGTTTCTAAAATACAATAGGCAGGACTAAAAAAGCAATCCTAAGGCTAACCAAAGCTGACAGAGGGACTGCTGGATACAGTAGAAGTACTGCTCTGTGGGCAGAAAGAAAATCCATGGGCAGGCCAGCATTTTTGCCTAGAAAACGCCTCTAGTACACCTGCAGAAAACTTAGCATTTGCAAAAATCTGAATGCAATTATAATGCTTTACTCGCATTGATTTTAATATTAGCAACCTAGTAGTATACAAGTTTGGAGCAATAGCATTGGGTTTTTTTTTTGAAAAAGCAGGACATTCAGATTAATTAATTCAAAGTGCATAAAGAATAAGGTAATAGAAAACTATGACTTACAGAAGTTTGTCTTCCTCATCTTTAATGCCATCATTGCGAAGGTTTTCACTGGGGACTAATGCAGCAAACCTGTTTTGAGAAAAGCCAGAGGATCCGGGATTCCTGTTGTCATGCCAACTGGAGGATTTTGGAAAACTGGAAGTATGAATAACATTACTGTATCGCTGGTTATGTCCAGTCCATGTTCCTCTTCTACTGGAGCCTTCAATTGAATGTCAACATGATGTGTTAATAATATGTACATCTAAACAAAATAACTTTCACTGCTACATAAATTTATGAGCACTTATTGAATGCAATTGTTCTGACATGGGATGACCCTTTGATATTGGAAAGGAAAAAGACCTATGAGCCAACAATGTGATGCAGCTGCCAAAACAGCAAATATTATTTTGGGATGCATTAATAGAAGTATTACTTCCAAATCACAGGTAGTAGTCGTTCCCCCTATACTTCTCACTAGTCAGACCCCATCTGGCATACTGTGTCCAGTTCTGGGCACCAAGTTTTTTAAAAAGATGCAGAAAAATTAGAAAAAGTACAGAGGAGGGCAACAAAAATGATCCAGGGTTTGGAAACACTGCCAGAGAGGAGAGACTGAGAGAACTGGGCATATTTAACCTTGAGAAGAGAAGACTGAGCGGGAACATGATAGCCCTTTATAAGTACCTCAAAGGCTGGCACAAAGAGGAAGGTAAAGATCTTTTCTTGCTGATACAGAGTGTAGGACACAGAATAATCAATTCAAGCTATGACAACCCAGACTCAGGCTTGATATCAGGAAGCACTTTCTCACTGTCAGAACAATACAGCAGTGGAACCAGCTGCCTAGAGAGGTGGTGGACTCTCCCACACTAGAGACATTCAAAAAGAAACCAGACAGCCATCTGGTGTAAAGGTGGGATGGTGTAAACTGATGTCCTGCAACAGCAGGGGTTGGACCCGCTGGCCTTAATGGCCCCTTCCAACTCTCCTATTCTGATTCCATGAACACAATCCTAAGCAACCTTAGCAATGACAAAGTCTCACTTAAACTGCTAGGGCTTATTTTCAATACTTGTGTACAAGATCATGCTGCACTTTTATTTTAAATAATAAATTGAAAATATTTCAAAGGAATGAATAATGTAGCATATTGCTCTGAAGCTTGCTTTTTGCACCTGGAAAGAGGGATGTATGTCCCCAAGGGGTGTGTGTGGGGGGGGGGGGGGGGGAGGTAATATTCAGAGGCAGAGCATTTCCGGCATTGCTAAACAAAGTATTTGTTCATATGATCAGATAGAAGGGGATGCCAAAGAAAGACTGGAAAAAAGACTACAATAAAGCATAAACTATGCTTGTATATGACCTCACTTGGAGACCCCTGCCTTTTCCAGTTAAACTCATCATGTAGCAGGTAGTGATGTTGAAGAAATCTGCAATGAACTGAGCTACAAATGGGAAAACATATCCATAGAATCTCAAGACAATGATTTATTTACTGTTATTCTAAAAGTGCATTTCTGCAAAACTCATTTTGCCTTAAAAATAAAATTACCATACATCCCAAAACACTGGTAACTTTTTCATCACTGTACAAAACCATCATCAATTTTTGTTCAGCATTTGTCCTCTTCTGCATCAAGCAAAAGCACAATAAACTAGACTGTAATGGTGATTATTTCAACGTGTTCTCATGTTATCCTGTAAGCTGTCCAGAAAACCTCTGCTGCAGGGAAGGCTATAAATGGTATGTTTAGGTCCAGAAATAACTCACTGATATTTAAAAATGTTGGATTCAAACCTAGACACACTTAGAATAGATCAATAAAAAGCAATGGGACTTGCTTTTAGTCATGACTAGCATATGACTGTCTCACTGGTTTCAGTCTGTCCTCTCCATGCACAACTAAGCCAGGATCCTACTGGAGCTTAAGGGAAGGTGATCATGAAATATAAGCAAGCAACAGTGCAACTAGAGCAGAACCAAAATCCAAGACACTGTTGCCTCACCCAGTCCAGCCTCCCTAGCCAAATGATCACCCAGATGGCAGAAGAAGGCTGGGTTAGAAGCAAGGTCTTGTTCATTCTAGGGCCTCCTGGAGCTGATGCTCCTTGCTGCAGCATTCTTGTTTTTAAGAACACTTTATAGGCAGGGGACATCTGGGTGGGCTACAAATGCTGATTTAAATATTCTTACTTTTTATTTTATTTATTTATTTATTTGGAGTTTTTATATGCCGTCCCATCGCTTAACGCCTCGGGACGGCTTACATAAACAAACATAAATAGACAACATAGTGCCCGATACACATACAAAAAATACAAATTGCACAGCTATTCATTCTGGCTGGAAGTTAAAACCTACAGATAATATTAAACATTGTTAAATTATTGTTTAAATAAAAAGGTCTTAACCTGGCACCGAAAAACAAATAACAATGGTGCCAGGCAGACCTCTCTGGGGAGTGCATTCCATAGATGGAGCGCCACCGCAGAGAAAATGTACTTTAAAATGTACTTTAATTTTACTTTAAAAATGTAATACCATTTATGATAACAAAACAGTGCTTATTTCCACAGCAGAGCATTTAACATCATGGCAGCATAGCTTTGGCTATGGGTAGTATAGAAATGTAATGCAATAATAATAAATAGGCAAACTCCATTTTATTCCTGTAGTCATAGTGGTGTTATGATTGATGTGAAATTAAAATGCAAAACTGCACATGTTTAGAGTATTTTTGAAAATCAAGACTGGCAAAATGTTTTCTCTCTTTTAGCATATCGGGTATGTAAAAGCAATTGTAAAACACGGAATGGTGGAGAAAATTGTTTGTATGCCTATTATTAACTGAACAAATACAGTCAGCTATCTAATGAGGTCCCCACCTGCCTTGTAAGAACATCAAGAGTGGAATCCTATGCACATTTAGACACAAATCCCAACCTGCCCTAATGATTACATCATAAGATGGTCAAGCTGGGTGCTTCAGGACCTTTTCCTGTCTAAATATGCACAGGATAGTACCCTAAATTAGTAAGAATTACACCACATAACTTATCAGGCTTACAGGAGCGGTTGTAGAGCATGAAGTGGTGGTTGGAGAATGGAATAGCGAAAAGTTACTTGCTTACTTCACAACTAAAGTAATACATACAGTCCTGTAAAAGTTGCCCACCTGTAAAGTTCATTAACTCCAGGGTCTAAAATTATTTAGCAGTCCCACTGCAAGTGATCCAAACCAACCCTGAGATCAAGGCTTGTCTCACAGGGTTAGCTCAGCTTGGAAGGAGATGGTGACTACTTCTTCCCTTCTCTTATTTGTAACATTTTGCAGCAACAGCACATCATAGAGGAGGAAGGACTGGGGAAGGCAGAGGGACCGGTAACGGCTAGCAGAAAACAAGTGGCGAGGCTGTGATTTAAGTGAATTTGAAGTGTAACACTACACCTGTCCTCCTCCCCACCCTTTTTTTCAAGCTTAGCATACCGTTTGGCTGCTGCTGTTATCCTAATCTTCCAGGAAGAGAAACGTGTGCTTCATAAATATCTAACAGACTCCTGCACAAGATCTCCAGGGCCAGGAATGAATAGTACGAGTAGCACCACGAAAACTGCAAGAAATCCTCCTCTTCCTCACCTGAGTTCTGAGAAAAGGACGGGCTGGAGCTCCCGGAGCGCGGATGCTCGTTCCAGCACCTCTCCCCGAAGCGGCAGTTGCCTTGCAGGAAGTAGAAGCAGATCCCGCCCGCCTTACGAGCCATAGCACCGTTGCGGGCGGCGCCCCTCGCCTCCCCTTCGAAGCGCCCCCAAGCTCGGCCCTTACTGACGCGTCGCCGTCACCATCGCTTGAACACAACAAAACCTCTCCTCTCGACCTTTCGCGGAGTCTATAAGGCTCATGTTGATGACGCAAACACGGCGCGCAGCTCTGTCAGGCGGAAGAAAACGGAAAGGTATGAATCGAGGGGGTAAGGAGTTACCCGCGCTCTTAACCTGTAATGGGTCCCTAAGGAGACTTCCGGTTCCCGATTGTGGGTGGTTCAGCTCTCTCATGGGCGGGCCAGGAGCGCTGGAGATGCACGGAGGGACGATGGCATGAAAACACCACCACATTAAAGCAGGTTGGCTTAGGAGCTCATACCTGTTATTTGGCTTGGAAAGCATCGTGGCCCCAAAGGAAGAGGGAAGGCTGCTGGACAGGGCTAAGATTGCGTGAAAGGGCTCCTGTGCCTTTTAAAGGCTGTATTACAAGTAGACATTCAGCAGATACAACATCCTTCTATTAAGTAGAACCCTTGGCACTATATAGAAGCTGGTAACTAGGAAGGTGGGAAAGAGGCACTGACTGGGTTCATAGGACGCCATAAACGTCAAAAGTACTGTTAGAAGTTGTTTGTCCTCAGTGCTGTCATCAAAACCCCGATGACACACCAAACCCAGGTAAAGTCCCAAAGTATAGAGTTGCTTGACAGAAAGCCTTGCTACTCTGGCAAGTGCTTCCAGTGACAGCCCAAGCGGCACATTGGACAGCTGTCATTGCTTTTCTGGTATTACACACTACCCCCACTTGGGGCTTGACAGGTGGTAAGCAGCAGTGGTGCTGGTGTTGATCATGTACTGCCCCTTCCACCCCACATGGAACTTGGGGTGCTGGCACTTAAAGGACACTGGCCTGTGGCCTCTCCCAGCACTCACTTTGGCAGCCACTCAGCAACTGCTGCAGGGAGCAGTAGGAATGCATTCCACTGGCCTGCCTGAGGAGGACTAGCAGAATGCACCCTTATGACCTGCCTGTTGCGGCAGGTTAGCCTAAGTGACTGGCTTCTGTGCAATTGGCAAGCTTTGAAGGACAGTAAGGATATGAACACACACATTCCTGATCTCAGTTTGGCTTTTTATCTGCTAGAACATACAGATGGTTACAGTGATCAGTAAGCAGTTCTATCCGTTTTGACTCTTTAAAAAAAGGTTAAGTCTAATTTTTGCCAATGAATGTTGCATGCATTGGTTCATGAGGCATATCCCCATTCATGTGTCAGCTATCTTGGTAAATGGCAGCTTCAGAATTCATACAGAAGAGTGGGCATAGCTATTCAAAGTTTAATGTGTTCCTACATGTGTCTGAATCACATAAAAACTTCCCTGCACACTTTCTATTCAAGTGATGGCCAAACCAAGGCTTGCAAGCTGCACACAGCTTTTTATTTTACAGCTTGCAGAGGGCTTGGAGCCCCTGACTTCCCTCCCCAGTCTGGATCCCAGTGATGGCACAGGCATGATTGCAGTGAGCTCTTCCAAGGTTGCTGCCCAATAAGGCTCTTTTTCTAAGGCTCAGAAGAGTGTGGTTGAGCTGGTGGCCTCACAAGAGCTCACCCCAGCATGCCCCACCCACTCCTGCAGATGAGTGCAAAGGTGCTTTGATGGTTTTACCTCTGCCGCTGCTCCAGGTGGCGGTGCTATCAGAGGGAGTGGTGGCAGTTCAGTGTCTGAAGAATGCAGCCCTACTTCCACTGAAGAAGCCAAAGATGGAGCAGATCCAAGCCAACCATGAGCTCTACCTATCAGGTGGGAAGGGAAGAGGGGCCAAGAGTAACCACTCACACACCATCTGCTCCATTTTTGGCTTCTTCACCAGGAGTAGGGCCACAGCTGAAGCAGCCACCACTGGAAATGGCAAGGAAGTACCACTGCCACTGCTTCTGGCAGCACCAGATTTGCTGCCTGGAGCAGTGGAGGAGGTAAAACTGTTCAAGTGCCATTTGCTTATCAGCAGGAGCAGGCAGGCCATGCTGGGGTGAGCGTTCATGCTGCTGCCAACCTGATTTGTGGCCTTGTAAAAGCTTGCCTCAGCATGCCATGCACCACTCTTACCTTCCTGAATGTAGAGTGTGGGGAACAGTTGTAGCTCCAAAGAGTATTTGTGTTATTTGACAGCCCCTGAAGATGGCTATCCTATTGTTGCTTGTCCCTTCTGCAGCTCCTTCCAAGGTCTTCAAGTTAGAATTCTAAGAATTATTAGCACTTCTCACTGAGCTATAATGTCCAGGATTGTGTCTGTGGTAACAGTAACCCCCACCTCTATTTTTGGTTAATATGACATTTACTTTTGAGTTCTTGTTAGTAATGGTCCATCACTTTGAGAAGGAAATCCCAGTTAGTGTTCCAGGTGTCCATGTGTCTTACCATGCACATTAAAGATCATACTATGATAAAGAGCACACTTTCAGAAAATCATTAATAAATATTTGTTCCTATCTTGTGGCTCTCAAAACATCTAGCATTTACTGTACTTGTCTTTTCTGTTGAACAAGTCTGGCCACTGCTGCTATAAGTATCTGGCAGGTCCTGGACTATAAGACAGTGTATACTGAAAACAGGCTTAATTCAGTTTTAAGGCAGCAAGAGGTTACAGAGGATAGGGCTTCAGACCTTTTAATGGTTGTGTAGAAAATGAGAATCTCAACAGCTGTAGCCTATTGTGCATCAACTGAAATGTCCTGTAAAGATGCATCTAATCTGTTCTTTTACACCTGGCCACCCTAAATTATAGGATAAATGTTCTTATTTGCTAATATATATAGGAACTGACCCATCACTCTCTTGGATTAAAATTTCTTCTACAATCACACTGGAAGTTTTCAAACCACTAGATTGCTGGTAGCCAGGGGCTGGAGTGGGAATAATGTATGTGAACAGTCATATACCTGTTTATCACCACATGCTTGCATGTGAGGCCCACTGTCCTTATTACTAGAAGATTCTCATGACATAAGAATGTGTAATGTTTATTATAGGAGGTAAGAAAAAATGTAATTATTGGAACCAGCAACAGCATCACATTTTGCCACCACAACCTGCTGCAGAGCAACATCCCGCAAAATGGGATATTATTTTCATTTTATTCACTACTTTGTTATCATCCCTACAAATATTGCTGCTTTCTACAAAATGACCTGTATATTCATGATGCTCTGCTTTGCTCCCCCTTTGCACTATTTAACACAGAAGCCTTTACTGGAAATAGCCACTCCTGACTAGGCAATACTGCTGAGAAAAAGACTGAAGATTCCTACCCTTCCACAACCCAACCAGATGTGCCAAAACTTTAGCTAATGGGGACAGCACTAATACTTACAAGCTTGCTTGGCTTACCATCCAAGATTACATGTGTCAAACGGTAAGTAGTATTATGGAACATTGAATACACACTTCATGACCACATTTAGCAAAACAAATATTTAATTAACAAAGTTTACTGATCCACAAGCCTCACTGAGGTATTTGTTACACTGCGAAAATAATTCCACTGATACTTAACCAAAGTATTCAGTAGACAAAGTTGATCAATACATATCTCTGTCAATACACAAAACAGACTAAGAAAACTTGTTGCACCTAATGTTCATATATTAAGAACTGACAGTGAATCAGATTTGTCACACACTGCCCATAACATGGAAGTTTTTCATACTAGATTGCCCATATCTGGACTACTTGAAAATTAGTAAGCAATACAGGGGGACCCTATTTGCTTATGGAGCTTAAAAAAAGACTGAAACTAACTCAACTCTTTATGGTATCTGCATTTGTGTATCTAGATGAGATTTAAGCTTCTTATTGATGTTCAAACTATTCTATTCTTGGCAAGTATGTTACCTTAATAAAAAAATAAACTTTTCTAAAGTGCTTCAGAATTCATTTAAAAACTGAAAATAAAAAACAGTCCTTAAAATGCAAGCATACATACCATTGTTCAATATAGCTTTAAAAAACCCACATCATTCACTGATTTCATGGAAGAAAGACTGTATTATAACTAAGTACACAAAAGTGTGCTTTAAAACAATATAAGGTGTTCCAACCCAGAACTAAGGAGCCTCATTCTTAGCAGGTTGCAAAACAGGTGGCAAATTTGGAGGGAATCACTGGGTTAGACAATCAGTATTTTATGCATAAGTGATGTCATTCACTTTTGCACATGGAAGCTTATGAGTCAGTCCTCTTACAGTATAGACAAGAATTTTGGAACTTCAGATGCAATATTACATCAGGCATGTAAGAAATGGGTATGAATTTTGATCCATTCCCATGGAAAAAAAAAGAAGTGGGGAAAAAGGAATATTCTAGACATGAGTATTTCCTGGGTACCATCTTATCCACACTAGAGTGTATCAAAGAAAGAAAACCGGAACAAGTCTATACAGGTAAGAGCAGGCTAAATCCCTATTAATTTTTAAGACAAAATTAAATTGGGTACAATAAAGGGGCAAATGCAGTTTTCAGAAAAATTTAAAAAAAGGAAGAGGCAAATTTAGCTCCTTACCTATGCATTTACTTTCTCACAAAGGTGAACAAGTGCCTTTCAGTGTGCATCTGAAGGCTAGAAGACTGTTTTAGGTAAGGGGTGTTCTCCTCTGTACAATTAATATTTTTGGAAATAGATGCACTCATGAAAAAGCACCAGTTCCCATGCGCATGGTTAAAAGTACATTATGGGAGGGTATCACACAGCATATAGTTTTGCACAGATGGAATTAAGAATGTTTAAAAAGAATACAGGCCTATAGCTAGGCATAATTTTATTTGTACTGAACCAAGTGAGAAGGATGCTTATGTACAGATATACCATCAGCAATCTGAGACTGCTTGGTACAGGCTGAAGATGCATAAATAGTTACACAGCTCTGTATTTACTCAACTACTTCAACTACTGGACACAGTAAAGTTGCCCAGCTCCAATTCAGTGATGAAGCTGCATGGCAGTAAATATATCTATGTGTTTTGGCAAATGCATACCAATTTATGACAGTTTTTTCACTCACCATTGCTACTTGAAGAATTTCACTGTATGCATGAAAAAGTGCAGGCTATTAAAAATCTTGTCATTAAATATTACATTTTAAGCAGTTTTGCTTTTGTTTGCAAAACTGCACAAATGCATCTTAAGGAGTTTATGTCTTGTCTTTTCAATCTATGTTCATAGTTCTTGAAATACTCCCGATTCTTAGGAAGACTCTTGAAAAATAGAATTTGCAGAAGCAAATCCACATTACATAGATAGTGGAGATAAAAGTAGAGGATTGCATTCCAATTCTTCCATGGTATTGAGTCTGACCATATAATAATGTTGATGTAACAGCAACCCGTTCTTTCAAGAGTACTGCATCATTTTCCTGAAGTCTTCATGTTTCTAGTGTTTCCTCGTTTGCGCCACAAGTATCAACTACACAGATTAAACAGCTGGTCACTGGGAAAGCACGTACTTTGGAATTGGCTATCCACTTATCTGTTTCAGTATTATATTCAAGGATGTGTCCCAAGCGACCTACACCCTGAAAACCAGCTAAGACATAAACTATGGAACCCACAGCAGCACATTTTACAGTTACACCTTTCCATGGCATAGGAGAGACCATCTTCCACTCATTCACTTTAATGTCATAATATTCCACATTGTCTAAGCCACCTTTGAAAAGAGGAAAACACAGCAATAAGCAATAAGCACAGATTCTGAAACCTAATAATCTATTTTAGATTTAAAAAAGGTTAGTTAAGCCTTACCAAGTATAACTAACAAAAGATAAAACATTTTCTAATGAGGTAAATTAAAAGCTGCTGGGATGGTTTGAAAGAATTAACAATTATAGAATAATAAAGGAATAAATTATAACAATTATAGAATAATAAAGGGACTAGCTAAAAATATACTGGGACTTACTGAGCACAAGAGCAAAAATCCAAGGTTTAATAGCTAGGTTCAGTAATGACTGTGGACTAGTTATTTTTCTAAATTAACTTCTAGTACTATCCTATACATGTCTATTCAATAGTTCAATGGAACATATTCCCACGCGTACAAAAGCTACAGTCCTGTATTTACTGGCAAGGACAGCTCTGGTTAGAAATTCGATGGGAGACTTGAGTCACTGAGCAGGGGGGGCTGGACCCAATGGCCTTTTAGGCTTCTTCCAATTGTATGATTCACTTATGATATGACTTAGGAGTAAATCACATTGTGAACACAGTGTAAGGTACTTCTGAGTGGTCAAGTACTGGATTGTGTTGTTAAAGTCACAATTTCTTCACATTAAGAGGAAATAATTTTAAATTTCTATAATTTTAGAGATTAAATATCAATTATAAACACATTAAATAGGACACTCAGTGGCAATTCTACATCGGAAATCTCCTTTATTCAGATGACTTTCATATATGATAGTATTGTATAAAATGCAATCTTAATTGTAGGGAAGATTATTAGAAGTATTACTATGCATGAATACATACAATTTTAGTCTGGTCTTCCCTTGATAAGTTTGCTGCTCTTGCAGTTTTTAATCATTGTTAATACTGCATAGGTTCTTAATGTGTTTTGTTGTGCTTCGGTCCTGAAATGCAGCCAAGAAGTATATTTTGAATGAATGAATATCACTGTAAGAAATATAAAAGTTGCAGAGGGGATTTTAATTTTAACCAAAAGATGAAATCCAGTCTGCAAGGTACTTTGTGTCATTTTTGACAAGTTTCAAAGGGGGTCTGTTGGGGATTCTGAAGATCTAGAGAAAAATTGAAAGGGTAGATCCCACTGGGACTTCTTTCAGTGTGTGTGTGTGTGTGTGGGGGGGGTGTTCTTACTCAGTTTTGTTCCTCTGCATTGCTTAATCCCCCCACCCCCACTTTTGGTTACTGAAGCAATGTAGCTTTTGATTCAACAAGCTGTCTTCTCAGTACTCACAGGCTTCTGTTAACCATACTTGATGTTTTGTAAGGATTTAACACCAAACCATGACTGAGGAAAAAGAAGGAAATTGGACAGGAATGAGAGGGCCATGTGATCCAGGAGTGTACTGCCAATCTCCTAATTCTAATTAAAGTTCGAGCTATTGCTACAACTGTACCAATCCTCTGGGATTTATGGCATCTGTTTCTATAATAATTTTGTCCCATATGCTAGATATACAAAAAACATGCACTTTGAAAGTTAACCGAAACTATGTTGGTTAGTACTTGTTCTGATCAGTATATTATTTAAACACCTAGTCTCTGTCTCACTCTCTGTCTCTTTCCCTGTGTGTGGGGGGATCTGCAAATGTTGCAATAATAGAGCAGAAATCAGCTTTTACTTGATCCTTTTCAAAAACTAAGATTTTTGGAAAATTCAGGTGTAACTTCGTACAGATTCTGCAAGTTAGCAATACATTTCAAAAGATGCTTGCAGCTGAAGTTTAAGTCAATGCTACTAAAAAACTCATTTTTGATACACCTTAACTTTCCACATCCCAAATTTTTTTTTAAAGTGCTGCTATTGTAAAACGCATAAGTTTTCAACCCATGTTCTGGGGGAGCCTAGTGCTTCCTTAAAACTTATTAGGTGCTCAGTAATGAACTAATAAGTAGTATCATTCAAACTCTTCTAAAAGACAACACCAGTGTTGTAGTTGGATCTTATGGGTGACATTAAGTCAAATGGCTCTGGGCCAGCACTCTGTGCATCCCAAAACATTCTCTAGAATCCTCTGCAGTGCACAGTTTCTATGGCTGACAAGGCAGCACAGAAAGGCTTCCTCAGGAGTCAGAACTGAATTGACAGAATTGTGAGAAGGAACTGAACTGATCAAGGAGGTCATCTTGTTCTAATTTGTCACATGCTCTGAAATTTGATATAGGTAGTTGGTTTACAAATGGGATCCTACAACAAAATGTTGTAGGGTAGAGCTCAGATCCCAGCCATTCCATTTCCTTTCTTTCCCCAGTGTCCCTTCCCCCGACTTCAGCGAGTCAGTATTCAGTTGCATGTTTGGGAATTTTCCGTTGCACTTTTTTTTAAGGTGGGGGCTTGTCCCCAATCCTACCCACATTCTGTCCTTAGGATGTTTTAAAATAGCTTCTCAGTATGAACCAACAAGTGACCTATCTAAACAATGGCTGGCTATTTCTTTTTGTATAATGCACCTCCTCCTCTCTTTCCACATATTCCATTCTATCCTCTTCCACCCAACTATTTGTCTGTCCATCTGTTTTGGTCCCTTGCATCATCTTCCCCTGACGTGTGTGAGCACATGCATGCACATGTGCAGGGGGTGGGAGAATGGGTATTTGCTAACTTCAGAGTTATGGCAAGTCTGCAAATGCCTTTCTGGTATATGGGTGATGCAGTTTTAGTTCCAATTCCATGAGCAATAGACAATTTAAATTGGTATCAGAAGAAATATTATTGCTGCCCTGAGACAGTGTAAAGGGTGGGATACAAACATACACACACACACAGTGTGTTATTACTAAAATTGGTATTTTATGATGCTATATAAGGCTTTGTGATGAGATGACTCTATCCTGAAAAATTAGTAGTAAGCTCCTGGTCTGAGATTACAAAGTACTATGCATTCCAATTAATAGTCCAATTATACTATTAATTCCAATTATATTTCCTTCCAGTACTCTAGTGATTCACACATTTAGAAAGGGGAAGCACCCTGGTTCAATTGAAGTGCACATGTTTTTCACGCAGAAGGTCCCAAGTGCAGTCCCCAGCATCTCCGGATAGAGCTGGAAAAATTCCTGCCTGAAATCCTGAAGAGGTGCTGTCACTCAGTGTCAATGATACTAGGTAAGACGGACCACTCTTCTGACTCGGTATGAGGCAGCTTATGTTTCTAAAATGTTAGCTGGTTTAACTGACGATTTAAAAAAAATTCTACATTAAAAATAATTCTTTAAATAAAACATTTAAAAGTTTCATTATATTTGCATTGTTAGTTCTGTCTGCTACTTAGTCACACAGCACAGAATTCCTCTTTTCTCTTCTAGTGCCACAGAATTCTTACACATGCAAGGCCTCTCCCAAATATCTAGCGATCCATGTGCATGCAGCTCATACTTGTATTGTCACTAAGCTTCTAGTTCAGCCTTTTACATTAATCACTCAGCCAGAAATATTATGTTCATGCAATATGGGCACATTTTGAGAAACTGCACTTGGGACTTGTTGCATATTATGTTTGACATAGCAGGTCTTACAACAAAACAACAAAAATTAATACATACCTAGGCTATTTTGTCCCCCAACAGCAAATATTTTGTCTTTCACAAACACCAACCCATGATTCTTTCGGGCTTCAAGCATTGGACACAACTCTGTCCACCTGAAAATATTAGAAAGGATATAATCTTCAGCTTTATACCCACCCACCCACTGACACTGCATATGATCAGGTAATAAAATTGCAAAGGAAGAAAATGATAGCTTCACTTATGGTTTGAATCTGCTATCTCAAAAGAATACCAGATGAACTGCTACGTCACTTAAAAATGTAACAGAGCCCTAAGCTAACTGCAGTGCTTAAAAAGTGCTTGCTCATTGTGGAAACAAGAAGCAATTAATCAATGGGCCCTTGATAGTCATTACAACTTTTTCCAGTATTGGGGAAGGAAAAAATAGTTTATAATTTTACTACTTTTCTGCATGGTTTAAAATTCAAACTTCACATGATTAAATTGCAAAAAGAGATCAGCAAAAATAATGCACTCAGATACAAATTGTATTGATAGGGAATATGAAAGGCAGTACATACGTTTCTGCTGCTGGATCATAAACTTCACAGGAATTCAAGACTCTTCCAGAAACATTGTTTCCTAAACTTCCTCCACATACATAAATGAGACCATTTGCCTCTACCATCCCATGACTACACCGTTGCGTCAGCATGTTGGGCTTTGTGTGCCAGCTTTCCGTTCTTGTATCATAGCATTCAAACAAATATAAAGCAGAATTTCCTTTAAATAGAGACAAGCAAATCGATTTCAGTAATACTTTAAAATCAGATTCATTTCGTGCAGCCTTGCAATAAAGTCACTGATGTAATATAGGTGTTATGGTAGAAAAGTCTTCTATGCCAGTTGAACAGTTTACTTAAAAAGCACTTTAAGGTGTATGGTTTCAGAGTTAGTTATTCCTTCATCATGCTATCCTTCTAAGATACACAAAGTACACAGTATGATGTCTGAGTGACCTTTACACTACTTTTTCTTGTCAAATATGAATACATCCTCAAAGGTGAAAAGAACCCTAGCAATCCTCACTATTTGGTAGAAAAAAGAGGGTTTTTAAAAAATAAAATGCTCACAATATATTTTGTGAGAGGACAGGTAAAACCTTTGTGGGGGGGAGTGGGGCAAGCAATGTGTTCTGGAAAAAACCCCAATAAAAGTGGATGGAAGTACGCTGAACTACAAGAATACTACACGTTAAAGTAGAAAAGGGGATTCTCGGCTCTGTGTCTCTCAAATGAATTTACAAAAGAGAACTGATAATTACTTAATCCATTCCCCACTGTCCACAAGTCCTTGCAAATGCTAACTTCAAAAATACTGTCAACTAGTTTTTCTGCATCCGGCCTCTAAGACCAGAAATAAGCCCAACCTGAGAAAATCGGCTGTGGCATCCATTCACATGGAATATCATCTTCAATATATAACAAAAACAGGCTAACACTTAAAGAATATCACAAGGCAGTGCAGATGAATTTTGAACAAATGACTGCATCCTACTTATGAAATCTCACACCATTTCTGAAATGTTGAAGAAATATTTTCTGTTTTCAGAGAGGAAGGTGTCTTAGTCTGCTGCAGCAAAGACAAAGTGTCTAGTTCATGAAACCTTTTGCCACAATAAATTTGTTCATCTTTAAAGGTGCCACAAATAAATGTCTAGACAATGACATAGCTGTTATAGGTTGGATCCATGCTTTTACAAATTGATTGAACAGGGTATTCATGGCAATGGGCCCTTCCCTCCTCAAACAGGACAGGGGGTGGGGACACATAAACATGCAAAAATAAATAAATAAATAAAAGGAATGAAGTGGCAATAAGGCTTTAAAGATTTGTCAATATTTGTGAAAGATTCACATAAATTCAAAATATGCAATAACAGAGGAAGATGAACCAATCTCCATATGAGAAATAATAATCAACTGGTGCCAGCAGAGAACTCAGATTAAAAACAAGATTAAGGGAACAGAGGGTAAAGCTCAATTTTCTCTTTCCATCTTCAACCTTTACATTTACGAAGAGAAACCAAAGTGTTTTTCCTAATTGATGGGATTCCAACTTTAAGTCAGCTGTTCAAATATTTCTTTAAATTGTTTGCAATTATTTATTAGAAGCTAAAGGAGGCATTTCAATGGCTAAACAAAACCCTTTGTTGAAGTCCAGCGTGCGTCACTGATTAAAGCCATGCACTCAAAAGCAAGTATCCAAGTTTCACTGAGCTTAGGCTCAAGTTAAGACACGTAGGATTACAGAATTCCATTTTTAAATACTCCTTAGTCTTTAAGGCATGCTTTGGAAAATGGATTATTTTTTCAATTTTCTAGTAAAAAAATTGTCACAAGTTAAAAGCAGCACCTCACTAACCAAAATCCACATGTTCTCACATTTTCAATTTTTCCAGAGAACATAAAAATCTGAGTGAGGAAAACAGAAATGACTCAAAAGTAAAAAAAAATTCAGACCAATATATATTGGCAATGTTCATCAACTGAAATGCATCATAAAAGCTTAATTCTACAGAAGTAAGTCCCAAAGAGTTAAATCAGTCTTCCTTAACCTGGTGCCACAAGATGCTTTGGACTTCAGGAATATTGTGAGTTGTGATACAAAATATCTGGAAGGCAGCAGATTAGGGAAGGCTGAGGTAAATGGTGCTTGTTCCCACCTAACTATATACAGGCTTACAAAGTGTGTTACATAATTTCAGTTTCATCAGCCTATAATAACTACTAATAAATGCATATAATATTGTTGCATAAGCATGTTGGGATTTCTACTAGCCACCTGTGAAAATGTTTATCTTTCAAGCCAACTATGACCAGTAGACTCCTTGCTGGATCCAGATTTAGTTGACTCTTGGTTGGATCCAGTTTTAATCATTCATGTCTTATAGTGTGTAGATTTCAAAGTGAATTAAGTACAACTTAGTTAGATCAAAATATTCTTCTTGAACTTTTCATTAGACTTTTACATATAGAATGTGTATGCACTGACACTACCCAAGACTGTTGTTACATATGGCTACCAAAACTACTTAAAAGTCCAACTGTAAGCCCAAGTCTCACAGAATTCAGCTAGACTAACTTCCAGGTGTGGATAAAATTGTGGCCTTGAGGCTGAAAGGAACTATTTATTTGAAAGTATCTGGTATAGAACAGGATTCTGCTTGCGTAAGGACACTCTGCTAATTGATTCCATGGTGAGCTGGCAAACTAAGTGTCAAGGTCATCCAACTTGGTTCATCCTCATCATCTACAGTCATTCATTTGTGTGTGTGAACTGCCTGCTTGGAAGAGTAACTGCCCCCTCTTGACCCCCACCCCCCAACATCTGGGCATGTATGTGCTACAGTAAATACACAGCCTTCTGTGCCTCACATTTTTTTTGCTACTAGCATGCTGCATCAGGGAGCTGTCAGCAATGTAATGTTGGAAAGTCATACTGGAATACAAGTCTAATTCTTTAACATAGCCAGGCCTATGGCCTCTTCTCATCCTGAACAGGCAGATGATCTAGGGACTCCCACTGTCTCAATGGGGTACCTGTGCTACAACCTGGCTATCCACAAGTTATATGCAGGCCAGTGGGATATATTTTTTCATTCTCAGACAGAATTCATAGGACAAGTGAAAATTACATGACAAGTATCCTTTCTGAAATTACATTTATACTCTTTGCAATGAAGTTTAAAGTTCTTACTGAAATTTCAGAAGCACTTTGATCCAAAAAGTGTTATTACTTTTTATAGAAACATGTAATTACAGTACTAGAGTGCTATATGCAACTTCTACCTGAAGGTTCCCCACCACCAGACCCATAAAACTGTCTTACCTACTTCTGAACCACCAGATGTATAAATTTTACCCTCTGCTGCACAAGCTGCAAGGCTATCACGAGGTGTTGGTGGACCCAATTTGGAATACCAGCTATCTTTCACAACATTGTAACAGTCCATTCGCTTTATAGGGAAAAGCTGGGAACCACCCAAAATATAAACTACATTGTCCCAGAAGACACAGGCTGCATCCCTTCGCTTTTCAAAGGGACATCGGATGTCTGTCCAGCTGTAATCCTGTATGAGAAAAAAATAAGGAATTGACAGGGTTTACATAAAGACTATCCAGCTGAGTAGTTTTGAAATTCTTCACTTCTGACACAATCTTATTTCATTTAAATCTTACATATATACATTAGTGTTTTGAAAATTAGTACTGCCTTGGTATAGCTGTCATGTAAACCTAATCTGTATGTAAAGGATAGATGTGAGCACTCTAAGCAGCAGCAAACTCATATGATTCTATGAGATGAGTGGACTGGAAGTGTAGAGCCAATAGCTAGCCAATACCTTACTGCCTTTTCCATTTGGCAAAAGCCTTGTGTTTGCTCAGGCAAAACAAAAATCTTGAAAAATTTCCTTCATTATGTTGCAAGCAGTTATTTTATTAATGTGTTTTAAATCTTTCCTCAGTTATGGGCATCAACAATTCTTTGGTGGGGAAAGGGCAGACAAAAGGAACTTACTATGAGTCTGTTCAAAAACCTCCTGGCCCTTCTTATAGCCGCTACCCATGATGCATTCTTCCAGAATTTGGATTTATTTTAAAATGGAATAGATAAAAATAGTCAAGAAGGAATGCACCATCGAACAAAAATGTGGTGGGGGAGGGAAGGGAACAAAGAAGGAAAAGAGCTGACCCTAAGAATTATAATTAGGTAAAAAAGAACTTGCAAGAATATGTTGTCATGACAACCAAGAATTCTTCTATGCCACAAATTATAACCTACCTTTGATGGTTACCTCTAATAAACTACAAACAGTGCTGCCAAAAATACCTGCAGCCATATCAGGACTTAATGCTTCCCTGCATTCCAGCAGTCAGAATATCTGCTTGAACAGGCCCAACCAAAACAAATGAAAACTTCATACAATCCATCACACAAAAGAACACTACATTCAGGAATTGTGGGGGAATGGCGAATTGAAGTGGCAATTTCAATGATCTCTGCTGCTCTGTGCCTTATCTCATTTAAACATTTATAAATCATCTTTGAGAGGGTCTTTACCTCTCTAAATGACAGTTGCGCTTGAAGACTTTCAGTCTACAGCTCTGATTACAGCAAGATGGCCAGATAAGGTAAACTGAAACATATTATAGAGTCAACCCCAACAATATGGCATATACCGCCTATGCTGTGGCGGTGAGGGCGGCAAAGAAGAAATTCTTTTCCACTTCCACTGCCTCCTCGCAGTGCCGTCCAGTGGAGCTCTTTCGGGTGCTACAGGGACTGGTACATCCTGGCCCCAGGAAAGATCCTGTGCCACCCCTGGTGGCCCGCTGTGACGACTTTGCCCAGCACTTTAAGGAGAAAATCATTCAGATTCGTCACGAGCTGGACTCCACTAGTGATTCAGATTCTCTAGGGGAGGTGCCGATGTTGCCGTCTGGTCACATATTGTTGGATGTGTTTCAGTTGTTGCGGCCTGATGATGTTGGCAAGGTGCTTGGACAAGTACGTCCTACTACATGTTTACTTGACCCTTGCCCTTCTTGGCTACTGACCAAAGCCAAGCATGGGATTGGTGCCTGGATCCTGGAGGTCATCAATGCCTCTCTGAGGGACGGCTGGGTGCCAGCCCCTTCAAAGGAGGCGGTGGTCAGGCCAGTCCTAAAGAAGGCATCCCTGGATCCAGAGATGGCCACCAATTATAGACCGGTAGCCAACATCCTGTTCTTGGGCAAGGTGTTGGAATGGGTGGTGGCGGGACAACTCTAAGCTCTCTTGGATGAGACTGATTATCTGGACCCATTTCAATCCGGCTTCAGACCCAGGTATGGTACTGAATCTGCCTTGGTTGCCCTGTATGATGACCTGTGCAGGAAGAGAGACAGGGGGAGTGTGTCCCTGTTGGTCCTCCTGGACCTTTCAGCGGCTTTCGATACCATTGTCGTGCCTAATGGCTTGACAGAGACGTTGACACGCGAGCAAGGCCAGAAGCTCACAGAGTCAGGCATTAGAACAAGGAGATTTGTACTTGGTGCCCAGTGCCCAAACAGCCCCCCGCAACCTGACTCTGAGGCCTCCTCGTGAGTAGCCGCTGCCCCCCCCCCCCAGACTCTGAAGCTGCTGGGCTGAGTCCTGGAGAACAGGAAGACGTAACAGGAAATTTACAGAACGCCCAACTTCAGAGAAGTTTGTGCAGAATACACCAATTGCAAAGACAGGAGAGAAGATTGTCCCACCCATGGACAGAGATGTGAGAGGTGTTTAAGGTCCACGTGACTTTCCCCTTAGTTCAGAAAGGAGGGGGTAACTGAGCTGTGAGGAGCTCGTTGCCAGAGCTTATCTGTTGCATTGTAAATCTTGTAGTGAATAGCAATAAAAGTCTTTAGTTTTATTGCCGGCTGCTGTGTGAGTTAATTGGAGACGTGAGTTATGGCCTCACAACAACCATCGACCACAGTATCCTTCTGGATAGGCTGACGGGACTGGGAGTAGGAGGCACTGCTTGGCAGTGGTTCCATTCCTATCTTGAAGGCCGATTCCAGAAGGTGGTGCTGGGAGACTTTGGCTCTGTACCATGGCAGCTATGCCATGGAGTACCGCAGGGGTCCATTTTGTCCCCCTTGCTATACAACATCTACATGAAACCGCTGGGAGAGGTCATCAGGAGGTGTGGGCTGCGGAATCATCAGTACGCTGATGATACCCAGCTCTACCTCTCTTTCTCAATCAATCCAGGTGAGACAGTGGCTGTACTGAACTGGTGCCTGGTTGAGGTAATGGGCTGGATGAGGGCCAATAAACTGAAGCTCAATCCAGACAAGACGGAGGTCCTCTTGGTGGGTGGTTCGAGCTCCTGGGTGGGTGACTTGGACCTTGTCCTGAATGGGGTTGCACTCCCTCTGAAGGACAGGGTCCGCAGCTTGGGAGTGCTCCTCGACCCGGAGCTGTCCTTGGAAGCTCAAATGACTGCGGTGGCAAGGAGCGCCTTCCTTCAGCTTCGGCTAATCCATCAGCTGCGTCCCTACCTGGATGACGATTGCCTAGCGACAGTGACGCACGCATTGGTTACTTCCCGGCTGGATTTCTGTAACGTGCTCTACGTGGGGCACCAGGCTAAGACCTTTTTATTTAAACAATATTTTAATAATGTTTAATATTAACTATAGGTTTTAATTTGCAGCCGGAATGAATTGGGCTTTTAATTTGTATAATCTGTGTTTTTGTATTATGTTTATTTATGTTAGCCATCCCGAGGCATTAAGCGATGGGATGGCATACAAAAACTCTAAATAAATAATAATAAATAATAAATATATGCTTTCCCCCTTTTCTCTCTTTTTCTCTTTGTCTTTTTTGTATTGTTCCTTTTTACTTTACTTTTTGTGCCAAGAGAATAATACTCTAACTTGCTGCAACTTAGACTCCTAAGGCATTTTTGTTTGCATATTTCAAAAGGGCCCAGAAACAATTTCCTGATGATCACTGATGTCTTATTAAACTGGAACTTAACAGCAGTAAAGCCATGTGATATTTCTGCTTAAGAAATTGAGAACTGTAGATGGTGGAAACTGAATTCCCAACAATTGAAGAATGGAAAAATAAGCTGGCAGAACATGTAGAGATGACAAAATTAACTAATTAGGTAAATAGAAGACCTGTTGAAGAATTTAATGATAAATGGAAATTCTATTATATCCAGCATGATTAATGGGATGTACAAGGGAGTTCTTTAAAAAGTAGTTGAGGATTTAAAGTAATTGGAAAATTTGTTGGTGTACAGAATAACTTTTTCTTTTCTGAACCTCCACAGAATGTTGCATGATGGATAGATAATTTGGGGGTTTGAACGTATTTGTTATATTTGTTTAAAATCCCTTGGCAACTTTATTTTACATACACTTTTCTTCTTTTTGTACTTTGTTTCATGTTAAGATTTTTTTTTCAAAAAAGAATACATTCTACAGTACCATGTACTTGTAAAACACAACCAAAAGCAATAGCAAGCCACACAAATCACACCAATGTCCTAAGCCAGTTAAGGACATTGGATCAGAAAACATGGGAATAAATCTAAACAAGATTGTGTCTGTTCATACTGCATTGCACTTTATCAATAGAAAGCAGATTCAAATGTGCATGTCTATCCTGGTAAAATAATTCACATGTCAGTATCTTTGAAAAATATAACTAGAGTTGATGCCCGTGCACAGCAGTTTAAATTACTACTGTCAAGATCTTGAGTTGCAGCAAGTTGGAAATGAAGGGGTTTTTTTAAAGCTGGAAGTACTACAAGTATATAAGATGCTGTACCAAAATGTTTTGATTAATAAAATAATTTGACATCCTGCATAATTCTTCCCCCTTCTGTCACTTGCTTTCCTTCCTTTACTAATTATTCCATTCTGCGGTCCCACTTCCTACCACTCATTCTGTACCTCCTTCCCTTTCCCTTGTTGATTGTCTACCATTCCCCCCACACACCCCTACACACACTCCTACCCCTATTGTTCCTTGTTTGTTGTTCACTTTGTCTTTTCTCCTCCACCACAGCTTGTTCCAATGTCCCTTTGCCATGTTTTTCCTCCTCATTCTAGTCACCTCTCTCATTGCCCCTTTAATTTGCCCAAGCACTGTCCCTTCCTGTTTTGTCTCTCCTGCTTTTTCCATCCAGCTACCTCTGCTCCTGCTCTGGACTCTGATCCATTCCTTGTCCTCCTCCTCCTTCACATCTCCTGTGCTCCTTCCTCATTCCCTGTGCTTCCTCCTGTTTCTCTCCAATACATTCTTGCTTAATGGCACCAGGAAGCTGCACTTACTCCTTCTGCTGAGTTATGTTTACTCCCTGTAGTCTTCCCATTTGTTTTTAGGGGGTTGCCTTCTTTTTTGGTTTTTTTTTTAAATATCTGCAAATCCTGGGTCTCCTAAGCACACACAGACCATCCTATAGTGTGGTCAGGGCTGTTTCAGTACTCACAGCTTTCATGGAAATGGAAAACTGATGGAACATCCTGAAAAAGTGTTTATTATTAAAAAAAACATTTTTAGAATCCATTTTTTCAAAAGAACACCCAGGATACAAAGAACAGCTCAATTAGTAACTCAGGAAGCTTCAGCTTATATTTTCAAACATCACAGTCCACTGTGAATTATCTCTGAGACCAATGCAGTTTCCAAAAAATAGTATGTAATATGGCATGGAGGGCATTTAAAGAAAAAAGTCAAAAGTCTTACTGGGAGTAGTGAAGCCCTAGCTGCATTTTCCCTGTCTAGCCATTTCTAGACCTCAATCAAAACGCTGCTTTCAACTTATAAAGCCCTAAGTTACCTGGATATCTAAAAGATCTTTCACATGAACTTACTTCAGAATGGGATCATTTTCACATGCCTTCCACCCTCTGAGGGTAGGAAGGTTGCTACTGAAGAATGACATTTTCTCTGGTAGCACACAGTCTCTGAACAGTCTCCCTAGATAAGTGTGCCTGTTATCATTTAAGTGCTGGACAAAAATCTGGTTCACATATCATGGCAGCCCACTGTGCATTAATTCACCCATAATAATTAATGTACCCATGACAATTTCCATCAAGTTTTTACACAGCATCCAACTTGCTGTGGGTTTTTCATGTTGTGCAAACCCAGGTTATAGGCATTGTCTGCCTATAAGCCTTAAATAATTCATGGCTTGTTTTAGGGTTATTAAAGGATTTCAAAAAACTTCTGCTGTCTGCCTTCACAGAACACAAATCATAGTATGCTGGATGCCATGCAAAAATGGCAACCAGAAGCACATAACACCAGAGTCCTTGGGGCTAAATTAACCCATAGTGAGCTGCTGTGACAATTGACCCAGGTAACTGTCTATCCTGTTCAGCTGGGCTTTAACAATATTTTTTTGTTAAGACCAAATATATGATTTGGTCTTAGCTGTTTTATTATTATACTGTGCTTACTTTGTTGTTCCCTACTGTTTCATTTTATTTGACAATCATTCCTGATGCTGTTCTTTTAAACTTACTTCTTTGTATGCTATTTTGAGGGCTTTCTCAAGTTATAAGTAAAATGAAGTACTACTTTAGATCCTGACTACTGCCACAATTTGTTTCTTCTATAGTTCTTATCTGTTTTTCAGAAACTAGGAGCTATAGGAAAAATAGAGGTATGTAAGATTTTAATGAAAGTAAATGCATATTTGTACAGCACAAAAATATTAGATCAATTTTAGATCAAATATATAGAAGAATGAATATGACACATGATCGTTTAAAGAGCCGACCCATAAGTTGTTGGATTTTCCCCTCTATATGAGAAGTAAAATGCTATGTTAACATCAGAAATAGAAGATTATCTCCACCTGCTCATTTCCAGGGGCCTATACAGGGCAGAGAGAAAAGCAGTATTTCTACTGATTGTAAAGCCCTACTTAGTAGGAAAATACAGAGACTCTATTTGAATGCACACCTATGTTACATATCCTCAAATTACCCCTTTCTTTAAATGCTTTGATCAATCAAGACTTTGGGTTGGATCCAGACTTAAGTTTAGTCAAACTGGCACCAATACAATCCGAATTGTAGTAATTCAAGCCCCATTGATTTCAATGTATCTATCCCATATGATGTAAGTCAGATTCAAACTTTTACTTCTTTGCTACTGGGAAGGGGGATGGGGATTGGCCTTCAATCTTTTCAAACAATTTCCTCTTTGCTGCTGAAATGATTGCTGAAAAGGAATCAACTGATCTTGCAGGACGTGTTCCCTCAGCCTGATATCCCCATGTCCCAATTTGTTCCTTTAACATTGATAATCTACTTTGGATCTTAATTTGTAAATGAATAGATATTTATTCTTAGCAATAATTAAAACCCCTAAGTAAGAAGTGTTAGAGTTGCTATAGAAACCTCAAAATAGCCCTGCACTTCAGAAATCTTTCTGTCTTATCACATTGCTGGTAACCTGCCCCCACATCTAAACAGAAAAAAAATCTTCATCTGTTTTGTCAAAGATCAGAAGTCTAATAACTATGAATATACACATGAAAGCAATTATATAACAATTAATGCCTGCTATTTAAATACATGTTCCAGCTATTTTATTTAAATTTATACTCTATCCCAAGGATATGACTGGTACAATCTTTTCTGTAAATAAAAGGATAAGTGAAAATGGCAAAAAATGGCAAAAAAAAGTTGATCTAAATGATAGATGATTTGTGTAGAGTACATTCCATCCACTCAAATTTTGAAAGTTCAAGTTACCTTTGGGTTAAAATATCGACATGATTGTGGCTGTGATCCCCCAAACAAGGCAATGCGGTAATCATGCTTTTTTCTTCGTGGGCGAGTGCCATCCACTAATTCTTCTCTATCCTCTGGGGAAAGCAGATGGTACCTCATTCCACCTAAACAAGAAAAGCACACACTTGATTCCAAATCAGCCAAGACACTGATTTGTTCAAAACAAAATCTCTGTTTCTACCATGAGATACACAATAGCTAGGGAGGGAAAAAAATAAACCTTATTTCTACCCATTTAAAAAAATCCATGCAAGTCCTGTCAAATACATGAAAACTATCATAATAATTTACACAGCATTCTTTTATTTTTGAAATATGTTTCTATTAAGCACTGGAGAGAGAGAGAGAGAGAGAGTGTGTGTGTGAAGGGGTATATAGTGAGTGATGCAAACTGGTTGTCATGGACAATGCTTCTCAGGTGATCATGCTATCAAATTCATAATACGAAACTGGGAAAGTTGTAAGATTATACTGAATGTTGACAAGAGCGCAATGTTTTCAGCACACCACAGAAGATGGAACTCAATTTCTCAGTAGGATCTGATTTTAGTACTAGTAGCTTTAACTTCTGCAAGTGTGTTCCAACAAATCTAAATTTCTTCATTAAATGCGTTCAGTATTTCATCATTTTAATGCCACTGCAATTCACTGAGGTGAGGAATGTAATGTATAGCAGCCTCCCTCAACACAGTGCCTTTCATATATTTTAGATGACAATTCTTGATTAATGCCTATTTTGTCTGAAGTGACAAATTACAGTCCAAAACATCTGAAGGGAAAAAATGATACAGAACATCTTCCTTGCATAAATATATTTCTCACAATACAAACAGAATGAAATCCTTAACTTTTTATCTGGTATTTTTATTTTTAGTTGGCATACACTTTAGATATAGCCTGGATCCATGTTAAAGTTACAGATGGTAGTGCGTAGGCTTACTGTTTTTAAAAAGCTGAGAGAAATGTCATTACTGAGGCTATTTTGGCATTGATATTAACATGGCTACCAATTATATTCTAAGCCTGAGAAATATAATATGCATCTTCCAAACTGAGCTTAATTCCTATATATGATTGAAGGTGCAATCCTATCAACCATCTACGTGGAGGCTTCTAATCATCCAATGCAGGGTGAGAGAAATTATATTTGCCTCCTAGTCCCCTATGTTTCACAAAATATGATTCTTCCAGTCCAGCTGGGGGAAAATCTTTGTATATTGGAGAAATATGTTCACCATAGTGAATCCAAATTAGAAGTCTAGATTCCAAACCAGTTGGAGCTTCTTAGTTTTTGAAAGGCAGCCCACAAACAATTTGCTGTTGTTCTTATACGCCATCAAGTCATCTGACTTATGGCAACTCTATGAATGAATGCCCTCCAAAATGAAAGCCCTTCTCAGTTCTCATAAACTCAAGACTGTGGCTTCTTTCATGGAACTAATCCAGCACATATTTGGTCTTCCTCTTCTTCAACTTTCCTTGGAGTTACTGTCTTTTCCACTGAGTCTTGCCTTCTCATGACGTGCCCAAAGTACAACAGTTTCACTTTCACAATTTTTGTTTCTAGGAAAGGTTCTGGTTTGATTTGATCTAGGACCCTCTAGTTCATATTTCTGTCAGTTCAGGGTATTTGCAAAGTTCTCCTCCAGCTCATTTTGAATGCATTAATATCTTTCATGTCTGCTTCCTTCACTGTCCAGCTTTCACATCCATACATAGTGATTGGGCATACAACAGTGTGGATTATCTTTGCCTTGGTCTCTAGCAATACATTCTTCCAAGTTGTCTTCTAATTTCTTGGTTGCAGTCCCCATTTGAATGGATGATTGAGCCAAGGCATACAAAATCCTTTCAGAATTTCAGTTGCTTCATTGTTGAAAGTAAAGTTCTGTAATGCTTCTGTAGTCATGTTTTTGTTTTCTTAATGTTCAGTTGCAGTCCTTGCTTTTCCACTTTCTTTCTTTAAAAATACTTTTAATTCACTGCTCCTTTCAGCTAATAACATGGTATTATCTGTATATCTTAAGAATATTGGTGAATCTTCCACACATTCTCTCTCCTCCTCCTCCTGATTCTAATCCAATTTTCTTATATGTTCTGTGCAAAGACTGACCGATAGGAAATAAAATGCACCTTTGTCCGACACCTCTGCCTATAGGAAATCATTTTGTTTCTTCATACTCTGCCCCAAATAGAGCTTCATGAAACAGGGCACACATCAGGACAATCAAGTGCTGAGGCACACCACTTTCTTTCAGAACAAAAACAGTGCACTACAGTAATCTAAACTGGATTGAACCAATTATGGAATATAACAGTAAACCAGCTCTTTTCAAAAGGAAATCTGACATACCAACCAAAACTAATACTGTATGTCATGCTACAGAAACCATTTGCACAACAAAAAAATATCTCTTTTTCCATTACACTCAGTTTAGGAAGACTTATTATCACATAAATATAAATGGGGCTAACCCATATTATTAGTTGTTCTGAAACTGGGGAGAAGCAACCCACCCCTGGAAGCACTGTAGTACCTCTAATTCCAGAAGGTAGTTCTGAGGGATTATTGATCTGTGCCTTGGCAGGTATGCTATGGGCGTCCACTAGGTTCAATTTTATTCCCCATGTTGTTCAACATCTAAATGAAACTGCTAAGGAAGGCTATCCAGAGATGTGTGCTATGGTATCATCAAGATGCAGAAGACTCTCAGCATGCTTTCTGCTGTGTATCAAATCCAGATAATACAATGGCTTTCTGAATCAGTGTGTGTGCATGGTAATGGACTAGATGAGGGCCAGGAAACAACCCAACAGTACCTCCACCTTGTCCGGATTAACAAATGGTTTGTCTACCTGGATGAGAAATATTCAGTCTATTCTGGAGGGGTTGCAATCCTCCAAAGGATCAGGTTTGTATCTGAGCATGCTGTTGGATCAAACAATTTCTAAATTGACTCAGTGATGTGGAGCACAATCTAGGCCAGTGGTAGCACACCTATGGCACATGTGCCACAGCGGGCATGCAGGGTCCTGTGTTGGCAGGCAAGCCAATTCGCCCCAGCAGCCGAGCATCGGATAACAGTGTACGTAGGGGCCATGTCCATGCTCGGAAAGGAGTAGCGGCACCAGGCAATGACATCACAGGCTGCGAATCAGTAGTCACGACTCGTCCAAGCTTTCGCATGGCCGGTCAGTGCGCTGCCAAGGATATGTATACATTTGCTTGGACTGGCTGTGAGGTGTTTTTTCTAAACTAAAACCTTAGTTTTCTGGTTTTATTGTAGTGTTGGCATTTTGCAATAAATAAGTGGGTTTTGGGTTGCAGTTTGGGCACTTGGTCTCTAAAAGGTTCGCCATCACTGATCTAGGCTGATATACCAACCATGCTCTTTTCTGGACAAAGATAGCCTAGCTATAGTTACCCATGCTTTGGTAACTTCTTGGTTGAATTACTACAGTGTATTATATATGCAGCTGTCTTAGAAAATAGTCCAAAACCTTCACCTTGTCCAATACAGGTCAGAAAGAATATCAATGTGGAGTGGCCAGCATGAAAATATTAGGCCAGTACTTTACCATGTGCACTGGCTGACAGTCCATGTCTGGGCTCAATTCAGAGTGCTGCTGTTAACGTTCAAAGACCTAAATTGCTTGGGACAAGGTTACTTAGAGGATTTTCTCCTCTTATATGTACCTGTCCAGATGTTAAGATCATCCTCAGCTATCCTGTGGAGACTGCGCGAAAGGAAGTCAGGTGGGTGACTACTTAGAAGAGGCCATTTTCTGTTGTGGCACCATAGCTGTGGAATGACCTTCCTAGAGAGGCTCACCTGGCACCTACATCATACTCTTTCTAGTGCCAGGTAAAAACCTTATTTTTCTGGTTTTAGTTTACTTTGGCATTTACTTCTATTTTATACTGTAGTTTTAAACTTTTAAATTCATACACTGTCTTTGATGTTTTCAACTGTTGTCCAGACAGCTCCAGATATCGGACAATATGGAATGTACAAATAAATAAAATTTGGACTTCTTTGCTACAAATAACCCAACACTAAATAAGTAGTTCCCTTATTTTAGCAGCAGTACACTAATGTTGTGAAGTGTAAAGGACATTTTGAAAGTTGGGAGACTGGGCCACAAAGCCCAACACTATGAACTGCAACTGGGCTGCAATTTATTAGTCATAGAAAATGACATTTCAGCATTAAGGGCTTCTAGTCAGCTATTGTTCAGCATCCCAGTACAGAGAAAACAGTGTTAAGCCCAATTTTCTTTTAGGGTTTCATGAGGAAAGGCTTTGAAGTGGAATAAGTCATTCCTAAAGGAAAACATTGAAAGCACATCTGGAAGTTAAAAACAATGAAGTATAATGGCACCTTAAAGACTAACAAAGTTATTCTGGCATCAGCTTAGTCTTTGTAGACTGCTGCTTTTGGTACAACCAACTCACATCATTACCCCTCTGAAACTAGAAGATAAACTTACTGATAACCATTTTGAGGCACTCTGGGTTGTCCTGGATAAGTGGTTCAGCCTGTACCGTTTTACTGAGGAAATTCTTTGAAATTAAAGGAAACCTGACTTTAGCAAGAATGTCAACCATATATGGTTGACGGTTTGGCTCATCATACTTTAGCCATCTGACAGCAGCATCATAAACCTAGAGAAAAGGAAAATACATCTGAGTATACACATGTAGAAGTCACCATTGAGAAACTGGAAAGCAATTATTTTAGTTAAAACAAGGAAGCCTAATTAAGAATCTTTAAAGTAGAGTTTAGAATTACTTGAGGTATTTTCCATCTCCCAGTGCTTGTTAATTGGGATAGATGGGCTGAGTTCCCCATTGGCTAACAGGGAATCTGAACTGGAATGTTTTCATAATAAGGGTAGTTCATGCACCATCAGAGCTATGAAACAATACTCAATAGCTGAACTGCAGTAGACTTCTATATAAACAAGTTATTTTACAATGAACATACATGCACAGATTTGGAATAATTCCAAATAATAATTTTGTCACCTGCCTTGACAATGTCATTTTGCTATTTTTCAGCTACTACTTAAAAATAAAATAAAATCTACATCAAATGGTATCATACTAGTTCTAACTCTTAATTTTAGTGAAAAGTTTAAATTGAAATAATCAGAAAGGTGTAAGTTCTTAATATAGAAATAGGTTGCTAAACCCCATATTTTGAATCCTTCTCCTCTTGTAGCAACCCTCTCTATAGCAACATTGAAATATCCACTTCAACTTCCAAAAACGGTACACCATATTTTGAATGAGCCTGTTATCACATATGATTTCACTAAATCCCCATGTCTCAATCCAAATTTTCATATTAAAGCACTTCTCAGGCTCTCCCACATTTCCTGGAAACTACAGGAAGAATAAATCCTGGATTTAATTGGTCTACTTTGGACATTCTAAAGCTGCCCTATGAGAAACATAATTTTCTCTAACATGACTGTAACTGAAGCTGGACCACCCTGAAGTTTCTTTTGTGATCTGGTGGGCTGCAGAAAGTCAAACAGACTATCACCAACAAAAAAAGTTACTTTGCTTGTGCTTATATGGAAAATGACAAGGAGAGTAAGTGGGCAGGGAACAGAAATGTGTTGAGTGACTGACAGGCTTACCTTTTCATCACAGGGAAGAGTTACTCAGAGGACAGTCCAAAAATACTGCTTGTAGAGAAGGATTTAAGTCTTACAAAAACTTTTGCTCAAAGCTGCTGTTGCTTTTGCTATTTATGTCTCAGCCAAGAGTGCTAACATGTTGAAGGTTTTTGCGAGAGGACCTGTTTTTGGCCAACTCTATTTACTCCTTCCAGATTCCAACTTACCCATTCCTCTTCCTAAATCCCTTCTTTCCATTCCACCTGGTTACCCCCCATCTTCTTCCAGAAGTTAAATTTCATTTCTTTTGCAGTTTTTTTGTTAGTCTCCTTATTTATTTATTTAGGAAGGTTCTATGCCGCCCCATTCACCAAAGCCTCAGGGCGGCTCACAATAAATAAGTTAAATCCTTAACTGATGTCCTTTCTCTTCCCTCTAGTTTACCTCCTCTCACAGCATTTTGGCCCTATACATTATATTTTCAGTCCAAACCAGGTTGAACTGCTTTCCAAAGGACAGAATAGGAGTCAAAACCACATTTTGTGCTCAGTGTTTCCCCCAAGGTACCTTTTTCAAAAGGTTTACCTCAGTTGTAAAAATCTGTAAAGCAACTGGCATCTCACCTGATCTTCTGCTCTTACAGTCAATGTATCTTGGTTCAGGAGATGTGTAACACGTTTAACATCTAGCTGTAGAAACTCATCCGTTTTGTAAACCTCTGTGAAGTGCTGATGGATAAAGTCATCTGCAGTAGCCTTCAGTTCTGGGCAGTCAAGACATTCTGCTAACACACTTATACCTAAGATAAGATGCAGAAAATACATGCAAAGAATCCTTAAAACCTTTGAATCATGTTATAAAATATTTCATGTTTCTCCATGCATTATGTATCCCAGTCTCTTCCAAGTTGGTGTCTTTCTGATGGTTTAGAAGAATTCCATAAGCCACAACTATTTATTTATCTGTGTAATTTTTACCCCCATCCAATACCCAGTGGGTCTCAGGACAGCTTGCAGTTCAACTAGTTCAGTCAATGGTGAGCAATGGTGGGAATTGCAGTCCAAATCATCTGGAGAGAAGGGTGACACAGTGGCAAAATACTGCTTCCTTCTGAAATACCACCATATATAGAATCACTGTATTGAGGTAGCTACTAGATAGAAGGATGAGTTTGTGCTGCACAGCAATCCACCTTGAGATATGCTATGTAGTATGGATTCTTCATGGAGGAACTCATGGTTGCCTGATAGATAACTGGGTTCACCATAGGTTGCCCCTCATTCCTTCTTCAGTCTTCCAGCAGGTATCCCTGGGGACATAGTTCTGTCCCAACTCCGATCACACCCACTGTGCATAAATATTCTATTCCCCCCCACCAAAAAAACCCTCCAACTTTTGAAGATGCACACTTGCAAGTGACAAAAATGAATGGTCTTGCCTACTTGATATAATAGATGCAAGCTCTCAAGCAAAATGCAAAACCAAGAACAGATCTTGCCTGAAAAGGAAGAGGATGAGTATATCATTCCCTTCACAGTGAGTTCTTCCAGTTTTCAAGTGTGGACCTGGCAATTCTCAATGCCTTTCACCATTTCCTGAGACTTTAAGAGTTCAAGAAACAGGAAAAGTGACAGCTGCCAACAACAAAATAGCCATTTGCAACCTCACTTCATCAGACAGTCTGATAGCAAACAATTACTGCAACATTAAGCAAGCAAGACTTTTCATTTTTGGTCAAATGGGTACCTCCACACCTACATAAACCAACAAATTATGAAAATATTTGTGCACTTTTCTGGTGCCTTAAAAAAAAAAAAACAGGTCAGTGAAATCAGTGAAAGTTGCTGCCTGTGCACTTCAGAGATGTGGTGACACAGCAATGGGTTCAGCAACCCCTATGAGCCACGGGTTGTCCAGGTGGCTTGTTGTCACACAAACCCACTCAAAGTCAAGTTCAAAATCTGCTACCCAGTATTTATTCTTAGTGACTTAGCATAAATGGTTAAACATGAAGTTTTGCAGAAAAAATAGTTCAGCCTGGTTTATCTGAAAGCTACTAACAGCTTATTAAACAGACTAGCCAGATATAGTATGCACCCATGCTTTGAAATATAATATTAAATATGCATGTTTCCAATAGTAATGTTCCCCCTGTCCCCAATGTAATTAGATCTGAAGACTGTCCTAAAAAGTATCAAACAACAACAGAAGTGTTAATTATAAGGTATGGTGCACTTTAAAAATGTCACGATTTCCTTGGACCAATATTGTATTAAATGTGCCATCTTACCAAGACAATTTGAAGCATCAACTTGCTCCTTTAAAAAGTCCACACACATTTTTTTCACAGGCTCAATTTGGTACTGATTTGCTGCATCTAACAATGACTGGACATTGTTGCTATTCACAGAAATTCTGAAAATAATGGAAGAATGTTACCACAAGTAAAGCATTTCAACAAGAACGGAAAGCAAAATATATCCCTATTAGATTCTATACAATGCATTTCAAACAAGTCTGTATTTCATTTACACATCCTTATCAGCTTAAAAGTGTGCAAAACTAGGAAACAGTATCTTTCACAATCATATTAACCAGGTCCAACATATTAATTCAAAGATTCACTGCATCACTAGCACACCAAAATAGGAAGTTGCAGGTAGATAACAACTGATAGTGGAAAGACAGATTTTAACTTGGTAAAAAGCATCAACTCACAACAGCTTTTGCACATTTCTACTCTGCTAGGCTTCTCATAAAGCTCTGACTAGCAACAGCAGATACAAGATAATAAATAAACCTACCTTGCAGTGTAAGCAAACTCTACAAGTTGCTCAATAATATCAGGCTCTGCATCTTTTAACTCCACTTCAAATGACTTTGATTCAATCATGTTTGCTGAAATTAGATATAATGATTGTTGTAATTAGAGTCTAATTTACCAAAAGAAAATATGTTGTAATGGAAGGTGACTGAAATGCCAAGAAAATCTCAAAAATCATTTGCAAACTGAACAGAATCCAGAATGGGTCATGTTGCTATCCAGTGCTCAATGTACTAAAAATAATGGTTTCCTTAATTATTTTGAAATCTTACCTATAGAACAACAACTAAAATATAGAATAAGGAAAGGAAAAACTGCAATTCTTAAAAATATCCAAACGCATGATCTCACAAAGAACACTTACAGAAGATACAATAACAGGAAATAAGCACTACCCAAGTTTTACGTAATTATTTACGTAGCTCAACATTTTAAAAATGCCTGTATACAAGTTCTTTACAAACTGGTCTACTCATGTGTTATCATTGTGCTTCAGCAGCTACCATCATATTCTCCAACTAGGAGACAAAGCTCTGTCTCTCGGAAGGAAAAATAGTCCACATTCATATTATTAGAAAAGATGACCTCAGTATCAAGTTGTATCAATAGTGACCTTAAACATATTGGCACATGAAGGTGAAATAAAAGAACACATCCCCTTAAACTATAGTCTATTTTTAATGATACTTGAAGATGAAGACTGGATATTACAAAACATTACTCTCTGAAGTAGATGCATCTGTGGCAAGTCTTTTTCTGCACTGACTGTGTCACAGAAGTGTTCTCAGGAAGTGATAGAAAGGGAAATTCAAGGGTACCACTTATCTTGACAGCATGGTTTTCAGAAGAGGAACAACCAGTTGGACTGATGTTGCAGTGACCTAGTTCACAGATACAACAGCCCACTATGGCTTAATTTACCTATGGAGACTGCTGTAGCATGCTGAAAAATCTCCATTTTTGCATGGAATCAGAAGATGTCTGGCTTACCATGTCATTCAAACCCCAGTGATGAGGGTTGTTTAAGGGTTAGACAACGCTCCAATAATCCATGGCTTGTTTTAGTTACTTGAGAATTCTGTAATCCTCAAACAAGCTAACACTCACTTGGATTCACACAACACAACAAGTCAGGGTAACCCATGGCAAAAATGATGCACAAGACACGATGGCCCCAATGGGTAATTAGCCCACAGTGATATGTCATGGTATATAAACAGCCACCAAATATCTGAACACATCCAGGCACACAAACATAGTTTCTTAACCAGCTACAAACACAAATAAAAGCTATGGTTTATGCTTAGCTTATAACATTTGGCTTCTTTAAACTATGGCTAGTTGTAATGTCTGAAACCAGAATTGCAGATTATCTCAGGTCTGTTTTTTCTGCTTTCCTCTGTTGTCATGAGCCAAGATTCTGCCTTCAAGCAAACATCTGTCAGAATCCATTTTCCTTGCAAAACTTTCTTTAATAACTCTATTACAAATGACTCAGAATGAGTTTCTGAGCTTGTTGAATCCAACCTAGTAATTACTTTCAGGGACTCTCCTTAAGAATGCATCTTTGCCCCACCCCTCCAGGAGGGGCTCTTTAAAGGCAAGCATGCCTCCTCCCTGTCCTCTGCTCATTTAATTGGGACTCCTGCACCTGCTGGCACCTTGCCTCAGGGTTCAGCTCAGAGGGGGAGGCTGGTCCATGTGTCAGAGTTCCTCATCTCCAGTGGCTCCTACCAGGAACTGTCCTGCATGATAAAGCTCCTGTCCTATTCCTTCTCCTGTTGCAGCCCAAGACCTTGAGTGAAATCATGCTCCCCATTCTCACTGAGACATTCTTTACCTTCTGGATCTGAATAAATACCTGGGACATGGCTAGTATCCTGTGGGAATGCTTGCCCAAGTGCACCAGCCCTCTGCTCCCAAAACCCATGAAACAGAGGCACCCAGCATGAACAGTCTCGAAACAAAACTGCTCTGAAGGATGAGAAAATGGGCAGGAGAAAAACAAACCACGAGTAGGGAAAATAAGCCACAGTGTGTTCATCTACAAGAAAATTCATGGCTAAAGCTGACTACAGTTAATAGAAACCATGGCTTAGAGTCATGTGTGTTCATAATCATTCATTAATTTGGTGCTACTGAACTACATTTAGTCTGAGCACTGGTCTAGCAGCACAGATAAAAGACCAGGAAGAAAAATTGGTACGTAGATTGAAGCACAACATTCAGCAGTTCATACTTACTAAACCAATTTTCCCTAATGAAAGGAGACAACTTACTGGTAAACATTAAGTTAAAGAAGTGGCTGGCTGAAGCAAGTACAACACGATGAGCTGGAATCTTCCTTTCTTGAACCATGAGAATGACATCACAGAGTGTTTTCTAAAGCAAAAGAAGGCAAAATTATGACAGATACATAAGAATATTCCATACTGTTGTATAAATCTTCTCTGTTTAACTAGTTAGTGTGTGACATTAGTGGAATGAATTGTATGTACAACAAACATTTGTATGTACGGAATGAATTGTATGTATGAGAAAACATCTATCCAATCTATTAAGAGTATTAATGAAATCAGTTTTCCCTGTCTGTTAAATCATAATTCATTTTATATAATTACAGACTAAAATATTTCAAGAAGCATCAGTAATACTGAGAAAAAACGGATGAGTCCCCTAGTCAATATTTTTAGTATCATGCATGGCAGGATATTGTCTCTGGAAATCCAACAAAATACCACTAAAATGTTCTGAGAAGTTTACTTACAGTGGATTGCAACCAGTTTTATAGCACAACTATATGCACATCTACTCAGCCGTTAAGATGGCCCAGACAAATGATATTTATCCCCCCTCCAAAAATGTATAGGATTGTAGCCTTAGCCAAACTTAAACAAGATAGACTGAAATCAATAGGGCTTCAACTATGAGTAACTTAACTTCATAATTTTCTGTGGGTTTACATCAAAAATTACCAAGTCTGGATCCAACCTTGATTTTTTTTTGTCAGCAATATGCATGAAGTAAAAGACAGCTCTCATGTACTTTCAAATTTTCTATTCACATTAATAGGACTTACAGAAATAAGAATGTTATTGTGGACTTCCAACAGTAAAATGGGAAAAATGAATTTCACAAATGATTGTGTCAATTGCTAGAGTTGCTACTAATGTGAAGACATATTTCAGATCAATAATAACTTTGCTGTTTTCTACATACACACAAGGTTTCCATTTCTATTTTAAATTCAAAACATTACTGAAATAGGCAAAGCTACCCTGTAAATCCCATGTGTGTTGCTCAAAAACTACCCCTAAGGATACATAGGTTTGCAATCTTAACACCCTAGCAACAACTCATACTTAACAAAGCAGTCATTGACTAAATAATCCAGTGCTTAATCCATGGTTTGTTGTTGAGTTAACGGCTGGTTATTTAGTCCTTAAACAACCTAGTGCTCCAAATTCACATGTTAACATTTTCCCCTATAATATTTTGCTGTACTGTGCAAAGGACAATAAAGTGAAAACTGTGATCCAATTGTCTCCATTTAAATCTTCTATACATTTGTGACAAGGATTGCTATTTTAAGTGTTGAAAGTTGCTACATTAGATTTGCCAATACATATAGTGTTTCAACCTCAAAATACAGCCAAATAGTTCAGACAGATTTATTTATTTATGTATTATTTTTCTATCCTGCTTTTTTTCCCCTTCCAAGGAACTCAAGCCATATTACATAATTCTCCTCCTCTCATCTTGTCATCATGACAACAACCCTATGAAGCAGGTTGGACTGAAAGTCTGCGACTGTCCCCAAATCACTCAGTGAGTTCCATGGCTGAGTGGGGACTACAAGCCAGATAAGCCTGAGTCCCAATCCCACACTTTTAACCACACTGGCTCTCTTGTATCACCAAAACAAAGTTATTTTTGGCCTAAAATTTGTTCTTACTGAACAAACTTAAGATGTGAAGTAACTCTAGGAAGTGATGACTACACAAGTAAATGCTACACCAGAATTTGAAGACAAACAGTGACAATTGGTAGGATAAATATTCTCTTTCTTAGATCAGGAGAGCGGTACTGCATTATAAAAACTAACTCAAATGCACCTGATTGCTGCACAATTCAACTAGCATTTTCCATCCACTTGTTTTTACTAATCAAATTACACTAAAAATCTTATGATGGTTATACTGTATCTTTGGAATGACTATCCATTGGAAGAATGTACATATTGATATCCAAGATAACTTAATGCAGATTAGCTAGCTTCCTTTTAGCACTCAGCTTACCCAGCCACAGGTATAGCCAAAACATTAGAAATGGGGGCCTTTTAAAAATATATTTTTGTAAATGAGATGGAAACACAGATATCCTGCTAAAAGGAACACCAAATACAACGGAGTGCTCTTCTATATACAGCATTACACTTGCTATTTCTCTGGTGTATCAGAAAACTATCTTAACCATTGCATCAGAGAAATATCTATACATAATATAAGAAGCCAAGCCACAAATCAGGCTGCCACCAGGGCGTTTGCACAAACTCCCAAGGCAGCTTTAGAAAAGTCACCACCAGCGCTCCGCCCCTACCGGCAATACGGGAATAATACTGACCTGCATTACAGGGCTGTCGTAAGTGTTATAACAACAAAAGAACGCACGTGATGCACCCTCAGCCCCAGGAAGCGCAGTGAAACTGCTTGTTCTTACTCATCCCACAATTCCTTCAGGTTTAGGCTCGAGGTGTGAAGACACCTCAACACAAAGCCGGGGATGGGCTGGGGGATAGTCTTCCTAGGAACTAGAGGTTAAAAGGCCTCACCAGAGGCCACCCGCAACCCCTTCTTTCCGCCTGCTTTCAGCTCTCTTTCGCCGCCTTACTTGCTTTCTCATGGTGTTCATGACCCCCATGAAGCTAGCCAGTAATTTGGCTTCTTCTCGAGCGGCGAGTTTCTTCTCCGTTTTCTTCTTGCTGCTTTTTTCCGACGCTGAGGCCGCCATGCTCCCGCCTCCTTTCTTTCCGCACCGCCACAGGAATGAGAGCTTTCCTGGCCAACGCGGGGGTCATACGCGACACGCTACCGCGGCAGGAAGAGCCACCGCCGCAACCACCTCAGGCGCTCGAGCCGAAAGGACCCCCGCCGCCGTTATAGCCCAGTCGCGAGAGCCGCCTCAGCCGCCGCCGCCGCGCGCCCCGCCTCCACAGGCTCCCCTCGCCAATCAGGAGGTCGCTCGCGAGGCAGTCGCTCACCAGCGCAACACCTCCCACCCCCTTCCGCTGGCAACAATTTTGAGCGAATGGGGGCGCGGGCGGCGGAGGTAAATAAAGAACGAGTCGGCGCGCACTGACGTCACGTACCAGGGCAACGAGCCGCCGGAGACAATAAAAGACGCGAGTTGTAGGAAAAGGTGGGCGCGTGGTACACCTTTGCACCAATGTGGGGCACTTCGGTAGCTGCTCAGCAACCAGCCTGTAGGAACCAGCTTGGTTCTTAATGTTTCCTTTTTAGGAAGCGTGCTTTCAGGCAGACTTGCTCGCAAGTAAGTATGCTTAGTCTTGCGGATACATGCATGTTTATTAATAAATTAGGTCCGTGCAACACACGAAGCAAGCGGTTTAACTCGGAACCTGGTCATCGATCCAGCTAGTTCATTATCGTCTTATGCTACCTGTGAATGATTTTTCAGTGTTTCACTCAGCTGTTCTGATACCAACGACTGCACCTGAGAGACCTTCTGTTAACAAAAACTCTTGTCACTTAGTGTTGGTCCTTCCCCTGTTGCAAAGCTGGGGAAACCTATGGCCTTCCCGACATTCCCAACCATCGGACATGCTAATTACGGCTGATGGAAGTTCTGGTCCAACATCTGGAGAACCAAACGTTCCCTGATTCTGCTCTGTTGGGTCCTTTGCTGCAGTTTTGTACTCTGGGAATAAGGGACAATTAAGTCAATGAGATTTCCTTGTGAGCAGACATATATAGCATTATGCTGTTGTTCTGTAGTTAATTAGGATTGGGAAAATCCTAATAAACAATTGCAAAGAGAAAGAAAAAAATAAAGTGAAATAATGCAATGTGCAACCTTCATGTGCAGTTATCGCAAATGTGTATGTTTGGGCATGTATATATCCTGGAAAACTGCTATTTTCCAAATAACACATATTCATCACATAATGGTTAAGATGTGTTTAATGGTTTTTAATACCTTACATCTTGTTTTATAATCCATTACTGTGCCTTTTATCATGCTTCCGTTGGGATAAAATTGAAGTCTTGTGAAGTTTTATAATGGCACTTGGTTTTCAACTGTTGGATTTTACTGTTATATCTTCTGTTAAATTTAATGTTACCTTTCATTGTATACTTCTTAACCTTGTAACCTGTTCAGGGAGCCTTATTGGCTAATGTGGCAGAATAAAAATCCACTAAATAAATAAAAAATGTGATTCACATATGAGAATATGACCTGTGCAGTTTCCAATGTGGACATGCTTTGTATGTAGGATCTGTCATGCCTGAAAAGTTCTTCTACTACTACTACTTCTTTTTTCTTTTCCAGAACGCAAGCTGAAAGATTGATCAGTAGTCTTAGGTGAAGAATCAGGCTGCCAAATGCCTGCTAAATATATAGAATTGACATCAGTATGAGTAAGCGTATGTTTAATCAGTGCTCTGCTCCAATATTTTAAGCATGCTTAAAGTCAAACAGCTACAGCCATTGGGGCTCAAGTACATAACTTAAATCAGCTATATTTGTATTCAGTCAATAAGGTCAAATGTTTCAACTTGTTTGCCATGGTGTAAAGAATATAGTACTTGAAAGGTTGTCTGCTTTGGCCATAATTCAAATAGAATGCTGGACCTTGGTCTCGTCCAGCATGTTCTTTGCATGTGAAAGGTTTAAGACCAATCTCTGAACTCTTCAGGTAAGGCTGCAAAAATCCCTTGTTTGTATGTTCACATGCCATGTTAAAAGTTACCGTACTCTTCCTCTTCTTGCCTATTGCCTTATCTTTGCATTGTTAGAGCATTTTCTTAAGGTTAGGAAGAAAAATAATCATTTTATCCATTCCCCTATGCACTAAACTTCATGCTTTCATTTCAGGGTCTGCTTCCCTGAACAAAACTGTGTGCAATTTGGGAGGTTGGTATGTATATATGGAATGTAGATATAGTTATGAAAATGCAGTGTTTAAGGAAAAAAATAATCCAGGAAGGAAAAGAATATAACCATAGGGAAAACACAAATATTTGTTCTGGAATAGTTGGAGAGAAAGCTGAAATAGTATGAAACAACAGTACTTGTTTAAAAGTAGAATCCTGTCCACATTAAGACATAATCAAACCTATGCAATTAAGACAAAATCAGTGGGAAGTTTCTTTTAAAAATAAGATCAGTGCATGTATATACTCTCTGTCTCAGATTGCTGTGGGTTGTTTTTGTTTCAGAAGTTGAGCCATGGCTATATTACAGAAGTAGTTGTGACAAATCTACACTTATATTTGGAGAGTGCCTTTTAGGAACAGCTAAAAAAAAACAGTCCCAGATTATCAGCCATTCCATGAGAAGAGTAAAATTGGAAAGGAAATTTCTTCATGCCAACTTGAGCCCATCAAGCTCAGGATTGATTGAGAGCAGCTGCTCTCTCATATTTCAGGCAGCGGTCTTTCCCTGCCATACCTGAAGATACCAGGATTGAACCTGGGGTCTCTCTCATGTAAAGTATGAGCTCTACCACTGAGTGACAGCTATTCCCCAGAAGAGAAGTACACATGTATAAACCCATATTGTGGATTGGCATTCTTCAGGAGTGAAGAAAACCGGGTGAGCAAGGCCAGAGGATTGTACAAATTAGGTACTGTTAAACTGTCTGATGGAGGCTTCTTTGTTGGCAGCGGCTAGTCAGACCTCACCTGGAATACTGTGTCCAGTTCTGGCCACCAAGATAAGAAAGATGCAAGTAAATTAGAAAGGGTCCAGTGAAGGGCAACAAAAATAATTCAGAGTTTGGAAACACTGCCCCATGAGGAGAGACTGAGGGAGCTGGACATGTTCAGCCTTGAGAAGACTGTACTGAGAAGAAGAGAAGGGAGACATGATATCCCGCTAAGTACATCAAAGGCTGGTGCAAAGAGGTAGGTCAAGATCTCTTTTTGCTAATGCCAGAATGTAGGACATAGAATAATCAATTCCAGTTGCAGCAACCCAGATTCAGGCTGGACATCAAGAAAAGCTTCCTCACTGTCAGAGCAATACAACAGTGAAACCAACTGCTTAGAGAGGTGGTGGGCTCTCCCACACTGGAGACATTCAGAAAGAACCTAGACAGCCATCTGAATGGGATGGTGCAACTTGGTGTCCTGAAACACCAGGGGGTTGGACCTGATGGCCTTCATGGGCCCTTCCAATTCTATTATTCTAAGGCATCTTTTGGGGTTCTGACAGGACTGGATCATAAGTTTTGCTTTCCTGCCTGTGTTGCCCAGGCCACGGACAGTAGGTTTTTGGGATTCTCAGAAAGTGATGCACCAAGTGATACACCAACTTAGATTTACTAAGAAGGAGATTATTATCGCAATAATATAAAATGCTAGCTAGACTTCCAATGCATTTAGCAGCAAGCCACTTATACCACACAGTGGGGACCCCTGCAAGATAGGATTCCAGTCAGCTGGCTTCAGATAGAATCAGCAAGATCCCCCTTGAAAACAAATCTCAACTAGAGTGCAAAGAAAGTGGCTAGCTTATATAGATTACGGGTTTATGGTATTCAACACATGCATACAGGATTGTATATAATTAAAAGATATGATTACTGGAATAGTTTTGATACTACTATTTAAACAGGAGCTAAAAAATAATGAAGTACAGTGAGCTAGTAAGGAGTATTCCTGTCTGGATGGCCAGGGTTCCCTCTTTGTTTGACATCAAAACATAGGCTTAATAGCTGCCTTTTTGCCTATAGTAGCAATGGTTGATAAGGAAAGGACCATTCAAAGCTGTGAATGTGCAGTGTGTATGCCTTTTGGGCCATCTCCATATCAGAAACTTACAAGAATTGCTAGAATACAACCTTCCTTCCTTCCTTTCTTTTTTTTCCAAAGAGCGCTGTTTTTGTATTATACCCATCTAAAATTTACCATTGCAACTTATGCATTGTTCTTTCTGCTGAAGCTGGTGCCTTAAGTCTTTGTTCAGCTTCTCCTTTTCCATCCTCAGAGTCACTTTTTGTTTGTATATATGCAGCATAATGCTTCATATGCAAGCATTATGAAGAGGCTACCCTCACACCCATGGGAGTTGTGGGATAGGATCTTACGTATAAAGCCAAAGAGCTCTGTTCATCACTGTGCATTTTACAGCACCATCATCCTACTTCATTCATGGAATTTTACAGGGATCCTGACATCTTCAGCTTGTAACCCTCCTGTGCTTTCCTACTGCTTCTTTTGGCTTCTTCTGCCTTCTGTCTTACTGCAGAAAATGCATTAAAAAGAAAAGATGGACTTACTGAGCAATGCCTTGTGATTAAGAGTCTCCATCTGGAAGTACCCATCTGTTCCCTATTTTAGCTTTATGGTGTGGGAGCCATGGCAACATGGTTCCTTCTTCCTAAGCCATCACTGCAGCAACTCTTCACACCAATATTTCACATCTGTAGCATGAACTCCTCCCATATGGCCTGGGCTGTGCAATGTTATGTTTGTAACCCAGAATAAGCTGAGTTGGAACAGCTCCCTAACCATAAGATAACATCTACAAAGACTCTCAGCCAAATGAACTTTTAATTTTTCTTGCAGATCCTGGCATATTAGTCAGCATTCTGTCACTGAAGAACATAAGATCATCCATGCTGAATCAGCCTGGTCTAGTTCAGTATTCTGTTCACACAGTGGCCAACCTGATGCTCATTGGAAGACGAAGGCATAAAGGCAGCAGCATCTTCTGCAGCCATTAGTGTTGATAGACATACTGACCCTAATACTTAAAGGTAACGCATAGGTATCTAGACATCATAACTAGTAGTTGTGGGTAGCCTTATCTTCCAATTCACTTTTAAAGCCATCCATGGTAGTAGCCTTCACTCTTAGAAGTTAGAACATTCATAATGATGACATCAGACGACTAACAAAGACATTTTGGTGCCTGGGAAGGGCAAAACGGTGCTGCTACCCCATTTTGGTGTACAAAAGTTGAATGGAATGGCAGCTGACTGCTGGTGTTTCCCTTCCCACCATCCTGCTAATCTCCCCTCTTGCACTGGAGGGTTACTGTAAAATGCCAGGTTGTCATAATAGGCTTTTTGCTTCCTGGGACAATTATCTTGGGGAATTTCAACATTCCCATTGATAACAGCATAGGGAATCCTGTTTGGGACTTTATGGCCTTTATGATAAACCAGGAAGTTGTCTTGGCATATAATTGGGTTAGCCATTGCTTTAACTTGCTGCTTTCAACTGAGTATGAAACTAGAAGTATAAAATGGGAGGCGGGATCTCAATGACCCCCACTGACTATTAAGAGGTTTTGTTATTCAGGAAATATGGAATCTTAACAGCATGTCATGAGCGGAGCCAGCTGGAGCTGGGGGTCAGACTAGATGCCCTGGGAGACCCCTTCTGACTCGCTCTGTTTCTGTGTTCTATGTTTCTTCTTGGTTGTGGTGCCTAGTCTTCCCCAGCCTGCTGTACTCCTGCTATGTTAGACTACAACCCCTATAATTTCCAGCCAGCATGGCCATGCCATAAGAATTATCAAGTTTGCAGCCCAACACATCTGGGCTGCAATAAGCTCAAAAACATTTTGTTCTGCCCAGCATTTTGATTGCCTGATCCTGCTTTCTTTGTATTTGCAGTTTTTAAAACTTAATAATTAACCTTGGTGTATTTATTGTTTTAAGTACATACCACCCTGGTATCTATAAGGATGTAGAATGTATTAAAATATTTTTTAAAAAGTTAATTACTAGAGGCATTCAAAAAGAAACTGGACAGCCATCTGAGTGGGGTGGTGTAACTTGGTGTCCTGCAACAACAGAGGGTTGGACTCGATGGCCTTCATGGCCCTTTCCAGATCTATGATTCTATGATTGAAATGTTGGTGACTGGGCGGTATCTTTCACCACACCCATAGGTGGTAGTCTACATTAAGGAAATGTAGGGTAGTCTGTGTGATGCATATCCACAGTTCTTTTCTCCAGCATCTTGCCCTTAGGGTTCCAGGTCCCTCAGCATTTGCCTCCTCACCCTGCCAAATGGTGAGGCTGGCCCTGTGACATCTGAACAGCTGAGCCAGAGCTATGAAGTGGAACAGCATCATAGCAGTTCATGTGGTCAGGTGGGTTTTTTTTTAGCCCTGTCTAAGATAGTACAATCTCTTAGATATGTGTGTGTTTTTAACCACCCATAATGTAGCAGACAAAAAAATGGTAGGAGGCAAAACTAGTGTTTAAAAGATGTACAATTAACTCAGATTGAAGGATTCTGAAATCATGATACCCAGCTTTCTAAAACCAAGTGATCTTTGTTTGGATGCATCCCATTATTGAAATAACGTGATAGGGGACGAGAAACCTGTAAAACATTCTATTACAACTGTTTTATAGTACAAATGGTAGTAGCATAATGTTTTATTCCCCTCCCTACTTTCCATATCAAGTTATTTCAGTAATGGGATGCATCCAAAGAGAGGCATGAGTCATCTCCATGAGACAAGCAACTAAGGCACCTCCCTTGGAACAAAACCATGTATACCCAGCTACAACATCTAAGCACTGTAAACAGTGTTACGTTACTGACATAGTTTCCTGCAAATCATAGAAGCAAATAAATTTTCCTGCCCAGTTTAAGATACTGTATAATGATATTTTCAAATTAACTCCAGCGATACACAGTGGGATGAGAATCAAGTGCCGAACTTCCAAACGGAAGAGTTCAAAACTGTCCTTCAAATAAATATGAAGGGGCGGTCTGAGGTCACACTGGTGAGAAAAAGTGCTTTGCTCTGCTAAAAAGCAAAACGTTACTCTGCTTTTATTCTACACATTCTATGGTTGAGGTTTGATGACAGAACATGAGGTAGAGGAAGCCATGGTAAGCTAAGACTCACATTACTGTATGTTTAGAGAGACTTGAGGTATTTTAAATGAGTTGAATCTGGATTTCCTGAGTTCAGCTTCAGTCTCATTGAACTCGATAGGACATATTATGACTTCTCATTGATCTCAGTGCAAATGAAGGCTCCAATCCTATGCATCTCTTCTTGGGCATTATTGTAAACACAATGGGCATTGATTTTGAGTAACTATGTATAGGATGACACAGTTGGTTCAGCTAATATTAAGCAGCATCCAACTCATTATGTTCCTTAAGTATTTCACAAGTAGAGCATCTGTTAATCTGTACATAGATTTCTACTCATTATCAATTCTGTAACTAAGTTTTGGGTTTTATTTTATTTAGATCATGATTTTTCTGGACATACAGCTGTTCAGTTGTACTAGACAGCTAGCATCAGAAGCACCACCAGGTTTGATGGGGGCTGTACAAGATGTATTTCAGCCCCCTCACTCGGGCCATACGACTACCACACTGCTGCCTAACCGTAACCCTAAACCTAGTCACAGGGACAGCAACCCCTTCCCTCCTCACTGTCGCCCGCCTCCTCTCCTTCCTGGCTAAATTGCAATTTGCCACTGTGCTCAAGAAAAGTGCTGTGCTAGTTGGTCAGACCTGCTTCTGTGCACCATTTCCAATTAAATTATTTCCCAAGTGTGAGAACAGCTGCAGCTTTCCAGTACAACTAGGCAATTCTTTGTTGTTGTTTTTAAATAAAATGGCAGACTTGCACAAGTGTGCTTTCATGGTTGTCCAGTATGTGAAGTCTTGCCTGGTCAATTTCTTACCTCTTTCTGCTGTCAGAGGGAGCTGTTAATTGAAGTAGGTAACATACACAGAAATTGAGAAGGCAAAGTATTTATCAGTAAAGAAGGCAGGGACCAATTGTCAAGTTGTCATTGAAAAGAATCAGTACAGGGGAGAAAAGCAGCAAAAAGAAGATATACCAAAGGAGGTTAGAATAATATTCGCTTAGCAATGACTTTTAAGTGTTGAACTGACATCTTTCAGTGTTTTCCACCTTTTCAACACTTCATCAAGTCTCATATATCCTTTCTAAATTTCACTCTGAAAGGTGCTTTAACTTTGACAGTTGCCAAATGCCCCTGTATATGGGCTGGCTTGCATTTTTTGCATGTTCTCCAGGCGCTAGTGTGTAGGAACAAGTACAAAAGTGAGGGCACCCTGGGAATACATGAGTGTCCCTGGGAGACTTACACCTTTAATTTCATCTGACAGCTCATACTTTGTCTGATTTAAGCAAGGGGAGTGGACTTGCCTATTTCTGAGAGTCAATACCAGGGCTGGTAGCGGCTGTATTTTTCAAGCAGACAACCTACTCTCACCATGACTTACCTGAGACTCCTAAGAACAAGATGAAAAAAGAAGTGTGAAAGCATATATAGCAGGTCAATAGTATGATCAATAAAAGCTTGGTGTAATTAAAAAAAACATAAAGGCAACAAGAGAAAGGATGGAGTGGAAACATGTATCAACAACGATATATGCATATTAACAGTAAAAGGCTGGACACTTTCACCATCTGGGCTCCAAATCCATTTTCACCAGTAGATGTCATTGTAGCAATGGTAAATAATAGATACAGTACAGGCAGCCAATTAGCTTAGTAAAATTATAGGCCAATAAGGATTTTTATGTATGATTTATTTTTACTAGAAAAGAAAATCTAGCAGTGCTCAATCTAGCAGTATTTTAGATGAAAAGTTGCATCTAAGGCAACACCTGCCATCTATTGCTCAGGAAATATATATGAGGGGATGGATCTAGGATCTGCCTTCTAGTGATGGAAGGTCTTTGTTCATAGAAAGTACATCTGCCCGATTGCAGAGGTCCCTTTCTTCTACCCATACCACAGTTCACTCCATTCAGAAGGTTCCTACTACCTTCTCTAGCATTTTCAGGGGGCTGAAGAAGGTGGTTTGAGGAGAAGGGAGGTCTGCTTTTGCAAGCTCACTTGCACATTCCTCCAACTGATTAATTGGTTTCCCTCCTTGCACTAATGGAATGGTGGAGCGGCTAATACCATGTTGCCTGCAGGAATTATTTTCTTCCCTCAAAATATCCACACAAGGCCTCTAGAGTAAAGGCAACAGTGGTAATACCACAGTTCCACAGCTATGTAATACATTTGTTTCTAGCCTACAAGCTGTTATATCAGACCTACATTCCTCATCCAGAATCCAGAATACATTTCTCCTTTATGTGCTATGCAAAACTGTCTCAAAGAAACTAATAGTGGAATGCTATGCATGTGTATTGAGTCTATGCATATCTTTGTTTACTGAGTTCCTCACAATTGTGCTGTATACTGGCATTATTTTGCATATGCAACATTTGACTGGGCCTAGTAGAGGTTTCTTTTTGTTTCCAAACCCAGATACCATAGGTTAATTATGGATTAATCAACCTGCAGTTAAACAACTAATTTTAACTGCAGATTGCTTAACATGATTTGGATAGTTCAGAACAACTTCCAATAGGCCTGATTGGAGGTTGCATATGTGTAATGCTAGCAGCATGCACTGTGGCAAATTGTGAGATAATTAACCTATGGTTTGCTGCAGCTATGTGCAAACTAGATCTTTTGCTGAAATCTTATATATGCACACAGAGGAATAAATCCCACTGATCTCAGTGTGACTTAGTTCTGAGCAAATAGCTTACAATTGCACTGCACATCATTTCTGAAGGCTACTTGCTGCTTTCAGTCATGTAGTCCTTCTTGAAAACATTTGGAAGGCTTCTCGTTGCTGTCACTTCATAAACAACTTCCCACATCTTCTGATCTGCATTTTTGTCATGAGTCTTATTGATCAGGATGGAGTTTTACTACAGTGATTAAATTATGTGTACATCTTTGGCTATATAAAAACTGTTTGGTAATAACTTCAGTACCTTAAAGAGTAAATCCTTAATGCATGTCAGAAGAGTAGCTATCTAGCCACACATGACAACTGTTATTGGCACTTGGATTTCTAGAGTTATTTTTATACTACATAAGCATTTTAAAATAAGTCACGGATGCCTTCCTATAAGAGAATGGCTAGTAACTTGGCATTCCTAGGTGCAATCTGAAATCTGCATAATACCTAGTAGTAATCTATTCAACCAAAAGGACACAAAAATGTGGAAGCTTCTAAGACTGTGATCAAATACTGCAGATTCTACGGCTTTAACATCCAACCAGTGCCCCTCAACTTTGTTTAAAACCAGCCCAATGAAGAGATCTCGGAGCTTGAAAGCTTGCTCACCATTTCATGTTACCTTGGTTGGTTGCCATAAAGGCAATGCCAGATTGTGAACTTTGTCAGATACAGTCTATGCTCATTTCCCCCACAAAAACTGTAACCATTCATTCATTCATTCATTTAGAGTATTTGTATGCCGTCCCATTGCATAGCCTCAGGACGACTTACATAAATAAGAAAAATAAAATAAAACATAATACAAATAGCAACACTTGCCATTAGCAGAAGCATCAGTTAAAATGGCATAATCCTGTGCATATTTCTCAGAAGTAAAACCCACTGTGTTTAACAGTGCTTGCTTCTAGGTAAGTATGTTGCAGGTTAAAAGCAGATTCTGAGCTAAAGGAATTTAAAAAGAATATTTAAATTTTTATCCTGCCATAACGCTCAATACTCAGAAATAGGTCTTGTTACATGGTTTCTTTTGCAGATAGCAAAATGTGTATGCACACAGACTATCAAGCAATGAATAATCTCTAATTTTCTGAAGAGGAAATCAGATTGCCTTGTTAGTTGGCAGCTCCCAACTTCCCTTCCATGCTTTTCTTGGCTCAGCTCAGTCCCGGGCTGCTCACAGAGGCCTTCACACTTGTGCAAAGTCTTAGAAACAAATATATTTTGAGCTAAAAATAGAAAGGAAAAAAAGGTTGCATGAGGTCTTGCTCTTAAGCAAATCTACAAAGCTACTGTTGCCAGGGAAGAGGGGCACCAGCATTCAATCAGAAGTGACTGGTCCTGGAATTAGATAACTCAGTGATTATCACTAGTATTTATAATCATTCATTGGTTAATTCAATCAGAAGTGACTGGTTCTGGAATTGCATACCTCAGTGATTATCACTAGTATTTATAATCATTCATTGATTATGTAAGCCGTCCTGAGGCTTTCACGACAGGACAGCATATAAATATTTTAAATAAAAAAATAATAAAAATAAATTCAGTCACAGCTAGAGATGCAGCTTTTACATATCACAGTGCAAACAGAGCAATCATATGCCTGCCTAATCAAAAGTACATCACATTCAAGTTCATTGAGACTTACTTCCAGGTTACTGGATATAGGATTGGAGACTAAAAATATAGGAATAGATATAGAGCGTACATCTTGGTTAACTTAAATCTATTCAAATAGTAGATTAAATAAGAAACGTTTCCTAAACTGTAAGGATGAGTACTTCCATGGGTATCCTTTTGCTTATTTCAACACTGCCCCATGGGAGAGAGGGGCTAACTCTGGGTCCATTCGGAAGGCTGTGTTAGACCTTTACAGCCCTAAATGATCTGGGAAAAGGAAGGATATACTTCATATGAACTTTTCTAATCCCTCATATGAACTTTTCTGTTCACTTTGGTCTTCAGTTAAATCTCTGCTTTCCGTTTCCTGTGTGGAATGAGGGGGCAGAGTTTGTAGTACAAGGTCCTTTCAGATATCAAATCTAAACTTTCTTCCCAAGGAAACACTTTTATTCCTTTCCTTCTTGCCTTTCAGCAGACTCTGAAGATGGTTCTGATTTGTAGGGTGTTTGTGGCAGGATTCCAAAATTAACATGAACTCCAATGCTACTGTGATTTCTCTTTGCTATTTTAGTAGCTGAGACTCTGCTGCTATCTGAAAAATGGTTTTGGTGAACTGGTTTTTATTGAAGGATTTTATGTCTACATTAAATCTTTTTTAGCCTTTTTAAATTTCAGCACAATCTAAAGGTGGAACACATAGGATGTAGAAAAATACATCCTAGGATTCTTTCCGACCATTTATTCAATGCATTAACACTTTCAGGTTGGCCTATTTTTCTCATTATATTTCAAATACATTGGAGGATACTAAAAGCAACTCAGCAATTCAAAGATCAGCTTGGAATCTGAATAAACAATTTATAAGGCCTTTTCAGATAAGAAATGCATGAAGGTGTTTTGTGTGTGAGAACAACTGAAGGGAGCAATCTCACCTCATTAAATCATGAGTTGGATTTCTCATATTTCAGGTACAAGGGACATTAAATGTACAGCTCCTACACAAAACAGCAAGAATGCATTTAACTCCCTGTCTATAATATCTGGGACATCAAAGCATTGCATTATAAACTGACATCACAACATGTCATGTTTTCCTGCCTCCACCTCATTGACTATCTTTGGTGCAGAGTGAGATAGAAAATGCCACATCCAGATTTGGCTACATTATTGAACAGAGAGGAAACTAAAACATAGAACATAGCAGTCTCTTGAAACAATTTAATATGCATGTGTGCGCGTGCACATACACACAACAAAAGATAACATCTAGTGAAGTAATAAGGGTTAGGCCATTACAACATATAGTGTCCAGCTCTGGATCTCCTTGTATTTGGAATGAAGTAGACTTGTTCAACATTCATGAACATGCCTCAAGTGATACTATGTATACACAACATCACATGCACACAAAAGCTTATGCCATAATAAATTTGTTCATCATTAAGGTGACACATTGTTGTGTATGTTGCAGCAGCAAACACAGCTTTCCCTCTGGGAAGTTTTACAACATAAGTGAAACTTTCAACTAAATTAAACAGGTGGCTGAGTGACCTGAAGACTGCATCTGGTCCCTTTTTGGAATCCCTTCTCCCATGGTGGCTAAACTGTGGCCTTCCAGATGTTTTTGGTCTATAAATCTCATCAGCCCTATCAAGCATAGTTAGTGGTGAGGTATAATGAGAATTGTAGACCAAACATCTGAAGAGTGACAAGTGGTCACTCTTGAAGTGAAATGTGCAACGTGCTGCTTTTTGCCTGCTAGGAAACTCCTGAAAAAGAAATAGGGGAGGGTGTCCATAGACTCTATGGATCACACCTGAGAATTCACATACAAAGCACGTACTCTATCCCTGAGTTATGCCCCCTTTTTGAGTAGGGATGGAATCACTGTAAAACCATGCTCACAATCCCAACCCAGACAGCTGATCCAGAAAGAGGTCATGGTCAATGATAGCAAAAATTGCTAAGAGGTCCAAGAGGCAGAACAGCTGGGCAACCAAGACAGTTTCTGTCTCAAAATAAGTCATAATGTTGGATTGAAAGGGATCTAGAAAAAATTATAAATCTATTTTATATTAAACTTGTATTTGAAAAACTCTATGGCACTATTATACATAGTTCTGACTCTCTCACTTTCTCTCTTGAGAGAGAGAGCTTTCTATTGTTACAAATATTATCTTTAATTATATAAGATTCTGGAAACAATTGTTTTATTTATTTTTAAAATAAGTTTAAGGCACTGTGCCAGATTACAATTGGTCATAAATCTGAAGCTTTGAAAACTAGCACCTAGAAAACATTAAGGCCCACAGAGGCATGTCAGTTTTGTTGTTGTTGGATCTCATTAAGTAAAGCATACTGTAAATGGCTTGAAGAGAAGCAAGATTATAACTTGCCATGAGACCTAGAAAGATAAATCAGTTATAAATATGTATAAGCTAATGGTCAAAGGTGTTGCTACTTTGTAATAAATATGTCAACATCTGTTGTGAGAAATTTTCTGTACTCTGATGTATGATGTAGGCTGCATTAGGACTGGAGAACTGAGAACAAGTTGTTTCCATACTCTCTCTCTTCCCACCTTCCTTCCTTTTCTTCCCATATACACCATGGAAAGGTGAAACTAACCACCTGTGTAGTGAACGCTTGTCTTTCCTGGCTTACAAAAGCTGCGAGAGAGAACTGAGTGGGTAGGAGTAGTGGTGAATACTTCTATATGGCAGGTTTGATTCCACCTTGCTTAAAGGAGGCAGTGGCAAGAACTTGGCTAAAAATTACTCTCCCTGAATCACATAGCATTGGGTAACTTTTGGCTAGTCTCCAATATTCCATTCTTGACTGCTCAGTTATGGAGACTTTTGGATGAGATGGATTATCCACTTCCATTTCAATCTGGCTTCAAGCCTGGGTTATGTAACAAAACAGGGAAATATGTCTCTGTTGGTTCCACTGGATCATTCCACAGCTTTCAGAGCCATTGACCATGGTACCTTCCGAGGTATTAGTGTGAGGTGGGAACTGAACACATTCAGTGAGCCCCACCATCTGCGCCTCTTTCCTCTTCAGCCCTCCTGCAAGTCTCCAAAGGAACAACTTGGAAGGATCAAGCATATCCCCTCATTCCATGTTGTGAACTGTTTCAGCCTCACTATGGCTTTTCTTCCTTTAAAACCCCCTTTTTTTTGGGTGGGGGGGAGGGAAGGTGGCAGTGGAGCTGGCTTTTGCAATCCCATTTTTGAGACTCTATACACAGAGTCTTTTACAGAGCAGCAGTAACACCCCAATAATAGCAGGAGGCCAAGTTCTAAAATTTGTGAAACAGTTTAGTTACCTTAGCAGTATTATGAATGCAGATAGGGGGACAGAAGCAACTGTAAAATGCTGACTAGCAACTGCTGTTTTCCAACAAAAACAGAAGATAAATTGACCATTTGATGTTGAAAGGTTGAAAGATCATGCTGTTGCTCAAAAATTTCAGCTGGAGTTAGAGAGCAGGTTACAGCAGCTGGAAGACCAGCATGGATTAGAGGAAAACTGGAGAGTATTTTAAAAAGCTGTTATAGAGACCTCAGAATAGATAATTGAAAGGAGGAGGAGATCATTGAGAAAGAAATGGATACAGGACAAACCTGGAAGCTGTTCGATGAAAGGTAGCAAAATACTATAAAGATCAAGCACGGACATCAGGGGTAGCAGTGAAAGCGGCAGCAAAATAACAAGAATTAGATTGGAAAGTGAAGTATAGCTGCAGGGAAGATAAGAAAAATTGGTTAGAACAAAAGGGGATGGAAGCCCAAGAAGCAGCCTTAAAGAATGATACTAAAACACTCTTCTGTATAACCCAAAATTTAACCGGTTACCAAATGAAAGCAAATGTGCCCATTAGAGACAAAAATGGGAAAATTCTTCATGGACAAGAAGAACGGGATGTGCATTGGACCAAATATTTTAAAGAGACATTAAATCAGCCCCACCTGGCACATAATTTCAGCAGTCTACCTCTAGCTGATCTGGATGTAGATATGAGATTATTTACTCAAGTTGAAGTGGAGGAAGCTATACGTGCACTGAAGAATAATAAAGCACCTGGACTAGACCAAGTATCAGCTGAGTTTCTGAAATGTGGTGGTAACATGGTCATTTGTAAGCTTACTATGCTGGCAAAATGAATGCATCTGGATGATTGGAGATAAGGTATCATTATTAAAATTCCCCAAAAAAGGGCAATTTGAGCTATTGTAACAACTGGAGAGGTATTACACTCCTTTCAGTCCCTGGGAAAGTGTTTAGTATTGTTCTGTTGAACAGAATGCAAGATAAGATTGACCAATATTTGCATGAAGAACAAGGTGGATTTAGACAAGGCCACTCATGCAATGAATAGATCTTTTCCCTGCAAAATATTACTGAACAAAGCACTGAATATCAAAAAACATTGTTAATTAATTTTATTGATTTTGAGACAGCATTTGACTCAATCAACAGGGAATCATTATAGAATATATTGTGCATATATGATATTCCTAAGAAATATGTCAACATTAAAAAAAAACTTTGTAATAATTCTAGATGCTGTGTGAGAACTGAAAATGGCACAGCTGATTTTTTCATGATTGATACTGGTGTCAGACGGGGCTGTATATTATCCCCATTTTTATTTTTTGATCATTATGGATTATACCATGAAAAAAGGAATGAAAAACTCAGACTTCCTCATCCTGTGGAAAAGAACAAGGCAATTTGACCGACTTGGATTTTGCTGATGACATTACTTTACTTGCAAATACTGTAGCGCAGCTGAGAGACATGACACGTGCACTTGAAACAGAGGTATGAAAAGAGGGCTTAAGAATTAGTGGTAAGACCAAGCTAATGCAATTTGGCAGTGCTCAAAATAGCACCCCAGTAAGAGCAGAAGGCCAAGTTCTAAAATTTGTGAAACAGTTTAGTTAACTTGGCAGTATTATGGATGGAGATGTGAAATGCTAGATAGGCAAAGCAACTGCTGTTTTCCAACAGATGGGCTTGGTTTGGGGTATGTCTGCTATAGATATTATAAGTAAGTGTAGATTATTTAATGCCATTTCTGGACCAATTGCCACCTATGCCAGTGAGACCTGAAAATTTATGACAAAAATTAGCCAGAAGATCAACGTCTTTCAGCAATGTTGCCTTAGAAAGATATTATGCATTACATATTGGGACCATATTGCAAATCAAGTATTACAAGGATGTGGTACTCAGAGACTCTGAGTTTGTAACAGAACAAAGAGTGCATTTTGCTAGCCATGTGCTCCGCATGAATAAACAATGTCCTGCTAAGATTGTAATTAACTGGATACCACTAGGTCAGTGGTGGCGAACCTATGGCACACGTGCCACAGCAGGCACGCAGAGTCCTCTCTGTTGGCACGAGAGCCAAGTCGCCCCAGCATCGCCCCAGCAGCCAAGCGGAGGATAACAGCAGACATAGGGGCCATGTGCATGCTCGGAAAGGAGTTGCGGCACCAGGTGATAACGTCACGAGCCGCAACTCATTAGCCGTGACTCATCCAAGCTTTCGCATGGCTGGTCAGTGCGCCGCCAAGGATATATATATATTTGCTTGGACTGGCTGTGAGGTGTTTTTTGTAAACTAAAACATCAGTTATCAGCTTTTATTGTGTCTAGAATGGGCAGAAAGGATGAGCAGTGCAGAAAAAACTGCTCAAGGAAGGCTTTTTCAAAATCACCCCATTCAGTAGTATTTTACCCCTATATTAGAGCTAGGGGAGCACACCAGGGTAGGGTTAGGGCAGTGGTGGTAAGCCTATGGCACACTTGCCGCAGCAAGCGCACAGAGCCCTCTTTGTCGGCACGCGAGCCAAGTCACACCAGCATCGCCCCAGCAGCCGAGCACTGGATAATAGCGCATATAGTGGCCATGCACATGCTCCCAAAGGAGTTGCAGCACCAGGCAATGACGTCACGAGCCGTGACTCATTAGCCACAACTCGTCCGAGCTTTCGCATGACCAGTCAGTGTGCTGTCAAGGAAACACACACACACACACACACACACACACACACACACACAGTGATACCTTGGCTCACAAACTTAATTCGTTCCAGGACTCTGGTCGTGACCCAAATTGGCCATGATCCAAGTTAAATTTCTCCGTAAGGGTCAATATAAATGAGGTTAATCTGTTCTGTAACTTTTTTTTTTAATTGGACAAATGTGAAGCAAAGTGATAAAGAACAACAAAGATCATGGCCATCTCCCCCACTCCCACCCCAAGCACGAGCACGGCCATTTCCCCGCCCCCGCAGCATGACCGTGATTGCACCCGTCACCCCTGCACGCACCCCTCATCCCGGAGCTCTGGGGGGGGGTAGACGGGCACAATTGTGGGTGTGCTGGGGGGCAGATACGGGCACAATTGTGCTCGGGAGGGAAGATGGCCGAGACTGTGGTTGTGCTCGTGCAGGAAAGATGGGTGCAATCACGGGTGTGCTGCAGGAAAGATGTGCATGATCTCTGCCATTCCCCCCCACCCCCAGCACAATCGCTGCCATCTCCCCACATGGGGGTGGGGGGTGGGGAGATGGCCGCGATCGCAGTTACCACCCAATGCGGAGTTCGCACCGAGTCAAAATTTTTATGAAATTTCTGTTCGTGACCCAATTTGGTGGTGAACTGAGGCATTCGTGAGCCGAGGTACCACTGTATATATATTTGCTTGGACTTAAGTAGTTTTTTCTAAACTAAAACCGCAGTTTTCAGGTTTTATTGTAGTGTTGGCACTTTGCCATAAATAAGTGGGTTTTGGGTTGCAGTTTGGGCACTCAGTCTCTAAAAGGTTCACCATCACTGCACTAGGTGATGAGGTGAGGAAGACCAAAAAAGACCTGGCGTCAAACATGAATGACCTAAATATCAATCCTGAATGGCAGGATAAAGACACTGTTGCTGCGGACCAACCACTATGGAAGACACTTGTAGCCCGATTTGCCTTGCACAGGACGTAAAGAAGAAGAAGAAAAGCAGAGTGCCCCTTGCAACACTGCCCAGCAAGTTTTATGTTTATTTTAATTGCACAGCCAAATGTGCAGGAAAAAAAAGAAAGAAACAGAAGCACAGGTAAGCCGATATTTTGCAGTTGTGCGACTGTGATAATCTGAAGGGCAGTGTCAAAGGGCAAGCGATCATCTTGAATTGGCCCGTGTTTGGGGGGTGGGGGAGCCTACTGAAAAGGTTGACCTGTCAAGAGAAGCCAAAGGCACAAGGAATCTGTTGCTGAGAAAGGGGCATTTAGGGATTTGCACTCTCTTTGCAGCAAGATCCTCATTTTTTCTTCTTTTTACTTTGTAGTTATGCATACTGCCAGGCTGCAATATTTTGCACTTTGTCCCAAACCTCTAAGCACTCGGGAAAGTGCCAGTGTGCACTTCTCCCTTTTTTCAAGCTTCGGATGCTAGCTTTGTCAAACTTGTAACTTTCAGTTCTGGGTGGGTCTGCACATAACGGCAACCCTATGTGGTAATTCACAAGGGCAAGCTGCCATTAAGCGTCAAGCACTCACAATGAGCCCAGCCATCAATCAACCTCAGCGCTTTGTCCCCACTCCCGTCTCTTCTGTCTCATTCCTCATGGCAGTGTCCTAAGGCAGCCTTCCTCAACCTGGTGGCCTTTGGAAGCATTTAGACCACAACTCCCAGAACTTCTATCCAGCAGGGCCATTGACTGAGAATTCTGGGGGTTGCAGTCCAAACAAGACTGGAAGGCACAAGGTTGAGGAAGGCTGTCCTAAGGGATGCCACAGATTGTTCATGGTTCCTCTCTTTGACCACAGATCTTCCTGTCTTTGACAGTGTGGTCTGAAGCACAACAGGGAGGATGGGGCAGGTGATCCGGCACTCCTGCTTCAGAAGAGACCTTTGTAACAGGAGGCAAGTACACCTGACTCACTCTGTACTCTTGCACTTTTCTTGGAGCAGCCCTGCTGAGCCAAATGCCAACTAGAGTTCTCACGCAGGAGGCAGTAAGAGCAAGCCGCTTGGCAGTGCTGACCTGTTCTTAGGGCAGCTGCAGTGAACAAGTTGCCGGTTTCCACCTCCTGCCTCAGAGCTGTACTCCCAGGCAGAAAGCAGGAGGGATGGGTCCTTGATTAGTCTGGCAGAGCTTCCTTGAGAATGGGGCAGCCCTGCCAAGCCAACTGCTGGCTCCTGCCTCTTACACAAGGGCAGTCTGGGCAGGAAGCAGGAGGAGGTAGGACACCTCAGACAGCAGTGCCAAAGTGCGGGTAGCTCTCAGCTGCTCTCTCTGACTAGGCACTTGGGCAAGAGTGGCAATGGCTGCTCCTTGCCAAGCAACTTGTCTCTTCTGGGGCTTTTCAGCAAGCAATTGTGATAGGGACAAACCTAGAACAGACCACTGTGTTCACAACCACAAGGTTTACAACTGCAGCAAGTCACAATGGTTGGTCACTGTGATTGGGTTTGGACAACACAAGAAACAACAGTCACAATCAATGGTTGTTTATTGTGTTGTGCAAGCTCAGTCCCTGAGCCCTTCTAAAAATATGGTTTTGAGTATGTATGTCTCAGTTCAAAACTCCCTGCTCCCACTCCCTTTTTAAAGGGAACCAGAGCTTTGACAACTAGCCCCTTTCGCTCGGTAGCTTTAGAGTTTCACTGTTTGTGAGAGCCCTCTATTTTTCTCTTTTCCCTTCTCCTTTCCTCACCCCGCTTCCTTGCTCTCCAGGGAACTTTTGCTTCCACGAATGCCTACGCACCATGAAGGCACAGAGCTTCTGTTACTTTTGGTCTGGACAAAAGGGGCAGATCTTTGGCCCACTGTCTGAGAAATGCTGATCTACACCCACTGTCACAGCTAGCTTTGATTTTAAAAGTGCAAAACTCAATTTTCTCAGCCAAAGCTAAAAAGTATGTGATGTTTTTCTCTTTACTGTTACCATCACAACAGGAAACTGACTTTCCTTCCCACCCAATCAACCTTCAAATACCTATAAATGCTTTGGAGGAAACTGGTTTGATTGCTTTACTTTTCCTGGAATACAAGCTCAATTGATTGATTAACCAGCATCATTGTCAATTGGAAGAGTGTCAAGTAGAAATGTTCCTCTTCCTGGCAGTTTGAATCAACTTTACTAACCTGAGGAATGAAAGCCTCTTGTGACCCCAAGCATGGATTTTTCCCTTGTTGGCTGTCTCTGACTTGTAGGATATTGAGTGTTTCATTGGCATATTTGTGAAATCCTCGTATGAGTATTTTAAAGAGAGACAGACAAGATTCTTTTTGTTCTACTGGATGCATGCACGAAGAACTAACCTGTTTAATCTCATATACAACATTGACTTCCTCTAAATCTCCCTTTCCTTAATTCCAAGTTCCTATTAGGCCAAAGGTGAAAAAAATGGCAGGGACAATATCTAGATGACTAGAAATATGCCCTTTTCAGTACTGGTGCCAGTTCATACTTGTCTCTTAATATCAGTTATGATTTTGTTTTTAATAAGACTTTTTACCAATGTGTCCAGAAGAGATTTTGAATTTCTTATAATTTCCTGGATAGTCCCAGGATCCTGTTTTTGAAATGTGTGTTACATCAGTTCCAGACCTCTGGTAAGGAGACTGGTTTTTCGGGATAAGTTACGCATTTTTGTTAAAGACCAGCAGTCTCACATCAGGTCTTTAATAAATCTCAGCTGCATGCTATGTGGATCCTATGTTTCATCCATTTTAAATCTGCCAATAAGGCTTAGAAAGTCAACTCAGTTCCTCAGACTTCCTTCCTGAAAATATCAGAGGATGCCATAAAAGTGTAAATTGTGGTCTACCACCTGGAAATATTGTTTAGGATGGCCCATTAGCACTGGGCCTCACTGAGGCATTGACTGCTGACTGGGGATGCTGAATGTGCACATGTCTAATAAGAACATATGGGGGTACAACTTATATTGGGGAAATAGTGCAACCTGGTATTCTCCACGTTTTCTACTCCAAATCCTAGCATTCTTGATTACTGGGCATGCTGGTTAGGACTGGCAGGAATAGAAGTCCAAAACATCTGAAGCCCACCAGGCTGGGAAAGGCTGCAAAAGTAAATCTCCAAGTTTAGTTTAATTAAATGTACTTCTGCATGTTTTTACTTTTCCTTGCAGAAGTTCTTATTTTTCTTTTTTGAATGGAACAGCACTGAAGTTTTTTGTAGCATGTGTCAAGCAGCTTGATCTGTTATGGCTGGAAGCTTAAATGAACAAACCTGTTAAAAGGTCTTTGCATAATTATCCAAAGACCGGTTTGCATTTGACAGTGACCTGCTATTTTTTTTTTAATTGCCATATTCATGCCTCCATTATATAGTTATAATCCACAGTTGGGCAATATATTTATTAGGATCAACCATACTGTTACAAATAGTGAGCAAGTTTTCAAAATGTATATACTCAAAAGTTCCATGGAAGTTTATATACTATAATAAGCAAGTGGACAGATCAGGAATGGTTGTGATAAAAGATGAAAGTAGATTCTCAAATTCTCAAAAGTACAATTCTTTGCATGTTTAGACACAACAAAGACCTTCAATGCTCAGGATGTCCCAGCCAGGGTAGCCTTTCCTCTGTCTAAACTTGCACAGGATTATGCCCTTACAGATTTAACTAGCAACTGATTTATTCACCCAATCAATGCACATAGAAATGCATATTAACTTTTGCAAAATGCATTTCTCTGTATTCTGTGCAAAGCATTTTAATTGAATCATTCCCCTTCATTTCAATATGTGTGAGAGAGAGCAAAGGAAGGAAGGAAAAAAAATAGTTCCAATCTAAGATGATAATCCTAACAAGGAGACACCCAGGTCAGGAGGAAAGTTATAAGCATGTTGCAACATTTCTGTTTCTGAGTCATATATTAAATTGGACAAATAATGAATCATCCAGTCTTTTCTAATCCTCAAAAAATTCAACTTAGGTTATTGCAGCAGATTAATGGAAAATCTGTTAAATCTTCAGAGCTTTTTGTATAGGATATGTTATATTCAAAACACTTTTGAACTGTACACAATCAATACCCTATATGACAATCTTTAGAAAGATAATGTAAAGAAAAATAAATATATTTGTTCAATAAAGACAACAAAACCACCTCTCAGTTCTTTTATTTCTTGATACAAACATGCAAAATCACCACCATTATGTGTTAAAAAGAATCCATGAAATGTATGGTGGGAGAAGCCAGATGGTTTTTCTTGATGATTGATTTAGTAAGCCTATAATCTTCTAAAACATATTTTTCATTTCCAAAGACTCTATGAAGAGATTTCATGTATACAGTTATCAACACTGGATGGCTGGTGAAGCCACTAACCGATCAAAACCAAGCATCCAAACAGAGTAATGAAAATAACAGGATGTCATGTTGAAGTCTTTCAAGGAAAACTTTAAAGATCTAGCAGAATTTCAACAATTAATAATTTGATCACATCAGCCTAAGGAGATGTGCAAATAAATACTTCACTTTGCAATTAACTCCTCCCTGACTTCTTCCATTCAGAGGCAGTGTTAAAGAGCAGCCTACTAGGGCTGAAGTCCCAAACCATTTTTTCAAATCTCTCACAAGTCAGCTATCTAACAGACCATTCTGTCCTCCATGGGCACTTGATGAAATAAAAGTACAGGCCCCTTTATGACTCTGCTGCGTCTGACCACCTTGGAGTAGCTGGCATTTTGCCCTTATGTGTTTCAGCACCTTCTTTCCCCTCCTGCAATCCTTCTGCCTGAGGTCTGTTTTTGAAACAAAAGGCCTCTTCTCTCCTGTCCTACACCCTTTTTACAAATGGGGGTGTACTTAGAAGACAGAATCCTTTAAAGGGGTTTTGCATGTCTATGCTCAAACACAGATATCAGCACACATATAAATTAGCATATGCAAATATTTACATTGTTTTAGCCTTATGGCTCTGAGCTTTGGCTCTTTTTAGGACCCAGCATTGTTCCTGCTTCCACATTTGTGTGGTGTTTTGTTCCAGTGGACAAGCCATTCCACATGTTTCCACAAAGTGTCATCTAACCTTCTATTCAGCAAACACAGTGAAGAACTTAAAGATGTAATCCTATGGCTTTCCAGCATTGACTGAGAGGCCATGCTGCTCTTCAGAGTTCCAGTGCCAAGATGCTACAATCTCAGCTGAAGGCCAAGCCCCACCGTGCCCCCTGGCAGCCAGCACAGAAACAACTGTGTCAGCTGCCCTCCTTGCAAGATCCCAGCTTGGCCTTGAAGGGAGAAAAGGGGTGTGCTGGGGTGGGTGGAAAGGCAAAGAGGTTGGGGACATGGAGTTACACAGATTTCAATTGTTGCCCTAGCCTTCCCTCCCGCTTCCCAGGGCAAAATCTAGATGTCCAAGAACAGCTGACTAGATAAGCTACATGGTGCAAGTTGTGCTGGTGATGGAAATTGTCACATCTTGAGTGGATGTTCATAAGTCTCAGAATTCAAAGGCTTATCGGCATCTGCTGCAGAGACCATGGGATTGTGTCCTTGGCAGAAGGCGACCTGCACTCCATGGAGTCTGACATTCCATTGATATAACAAGAAGGAGCCCACAAGCTGGACCTGAGTGCAAAAACATCCTCCTACTTGAGCTATCTAGCTACTGGTGTACAGAAAGGCATGTCTCTGATACTCTGATACTCAAGCTAAGCACAGAAAGTGTTAAACCCCATGGATATGTATAATCCCCTTTTACAGCCATCCAAGTTGATGGCTATCATTATACCTTATGGAAGCAAATTTTATAGTTTAACTCTGCACTCTCTGTAGTACTTCTTTTTATCTGTCCTGATCTTCTGTCAATCAGCCTTATGGGATGACACCAGGTTCTACTATTATAACAGAGGGAATAAAATGTCCCCCTATCTACTTTTGCCTCAAAATGTATAATTTTGTTCACCTCCTTCATGTTTCCCCTAACTCACCTTTTCTCTAAGCTAAGGAGTCCCAGCTACTATCTTTCCTCAGAGGGAAATTTCTCTACCCTGCTTGATCATTTTCATTGCTCTTTTCTAACTCTGTGCTTTTTGAGTTCATGATTAGAACTGTACACAGTGTGGGCACACCATTGATTTGTATAAGGATACTATAATATTGGCACTTTTATTTTCCATTCCTTTTCTAGCTAAGTCCAACATATAATTTGCTTTTTTCATAGCAGTTGAAAGTTGGATAAAGATTTTCATCTAGCTTTCTACCTCAAGCCAAAGATCTCTTCTGTGATCAGTCACTGCCAGCTCAGATCCTATCAGTGTGCATGTAAATTTGGGAAGTTTGTGCCCCAACGTGCATCATTTGACATTTGCTTACACTGACCCATATTTGCTATATTAGTGCCCATTCTCCAAGTTTGCAGTGATCATTTTGAAACTCTGCACAATCCATTTGGTTTTAATAACACGAACAATTTGATATGATCAGCAAATTTAGCAATCACACTGCTCACTGCTGGATAATTTACTAACAAGTTGAAACATACTAGTCCTAGTACAAATCCTTGTTATGTTCCACTATATACAGCACTCTACTGGGAGAAGTTTTCACTTCTGTTTTTTAACTAATTACTGATCCTTAAGAGGACCTCTCCTCTTATTCCTTAGATCTCCAATGTGGGTCCTGTGGCATCAATGTACCCATGGCAACCTCTTTTAGCACCCACCCTGCACTATCAATCAAGCTTTCTAGATAATGCATGAGATCTGCAACCTTCACACCAAGCATTTACCGTAAGGCCTACACATCCATCACAAACCAAGTTGCCTTTGGCCCTAATGATTACCCAGTACCACCAGTCTTCTCTCCCAGTGGTATATCTTAAGGGACACAGGGTATCTTCCAAGAAATTGGTCCCTTCTAATGAATGTTTTTCCTCTTTCTTGTAGTAACACCCTCCTCTACTGAGATTCACATTCTCCTTTAAAGCTGAGGAGCTTTCACTCAGAAATAAAGATGCTGCTATCAGGCTCCCAAAGAATGGTCCACGAACCTTTCTGCCTGTCAGCAACCTTGCCTTTCAGGGAATTACCTTGTTTACTGAGGACTAGGAACTCATTATATGATATACACATCCATGGCTTCAGTTCAGCAGGCAGACTGACATATAGATTGCTTCCATATCCCTGTTGGCTTTCTTCTTGTATGACAGTTTATTTAATTATTCTTATTAAAATTGTTTAAATCAAGTTATTTGTTAGCAGAAGACACTGCAAAGTTGACTGCCCTGACCTCCTTACCATGTATCTACGTAAATTTGTACAAGTGCTTAACTTATGTGGGTGGTTCATATCTTTTATACTTAATGAATCACTGAGGCTGAGATGTTTTGTCACTGAGGGTCTTCATGCTCAGTTACCTTATAACTCTTCTTTTCCATGATAAATGCATTCATTCAACAAGTAATAAGTTATTGCTGAAAGAAAATCCCTGCAACCCTGGCTGTTATTATGGTTGTTGGCATGATGCCTAGAATGTGGTTATGCAATTGCCTACAGACAGCTGATTAGACAGTGCTTAGTGCTGACCAGTATGTCAAGACAAACTTTAAGATGCCCTTGATCAGCGTCTTTTATTCCCCACTGTGGCTACCAATAGTCAGATTTTCTTTGAGAATTGTGCCAAGGAAACTAACACGTAGCCAAGGAAACTAACACATTGGCTTTTCTTGAAACCTGTCAGTTTCAGCATTGCACAAATCCATTCTACTAGGCCTAGGGATTCTTTTCTCATGTCATCAAACATTTGTTTTTAAGTAGAGAAAATAAGGGATTTTTCTGCCTCCTTCCACCAAGGGGTATAGACTAGGTATCATCTTTGAATTAATTAGGATTTATCTGACTATCCTACAAAATAGAATGATTGAACTTTAGGGATACAGGGCAAATTGGGCCCACCTAGAGTCCCAGTCTGGTTCTCTAGGCTTCTCCAAAAGGCCATGCCCCCTTCCCTTGTCTCTATTCCCTTTATGCCAACAACTGATCATTTCCTAGCTATTGAGCAGTTTCCCCCATTCTAAAAGGTTTCAATGCCTCTCCTAAGGCTTAATTACTGCTAATATAACCCGAAATATACTGGCATTTTTGGTCCCACCTCTTCTGTCTTTGTTCCAGCCCACCATTGAAATGTGTGCCCCCAACTACTGGTGTAAAGGCTAACATGTGATAGGGCTATTCTTGAATGTATTGCTTTATGCTCTAACAGCAAAAGAGCCAAAAGGGAAATGTTTTCATTAGTTGTCAGTTTTTGTTTTTTTAAATGAATGATCAAATACTAACTGATGCTTTTGAATTGTGTGGCAGGATATGGCTCAGATGACTTCCATTTGTACTGCTGAGCATTTTAGGCATACTAGTAATTCACTGTACAGCAAAAAGGACATATGCTAAATCAACATGAGATTCTAAATAATAATGATGACAATGTCATAATAGAAGTAATAATACTGCTGGCTCATTAATAGTTATAATAATTGGTAACATCTTTCATCCTGTACAGTACAGGATGCATCTGTCCCTTGGATAACCACCTTTCTTCTGTTCATCTAGTTTATAACACTTCCTGTCTCACAGGGTTGTTGGAAATATAAGTAGGAATTGTGAAGCACCGAAACTTACTGTACGAATGCATAATAATAAAATAATAATAAAACAGCAAAGAGCTTTACAATACCTTGTAAGACATAAAGACTAGATTGCTTGTGACATTTGCTTTTGCGCTCATTTGTGATGCAGTATTTGTCGTTTAGAAAAGCTTAAGTCTCAATAGTTCTGTTAGACTGCAGTCCTATACACACTTACCTGGAATAACGCTCATTAAAATAAGATTGGGATTAAAGGCTGCACTGTCAGCCTTTTCCGTGCCGCCAGCCTCTCCTCACCCTTTTTGTTGCAACAGACGACTACTACGGTTGGCCCTCCGGAACTAGTTGACACAATTCTAGGAATACAGAGCCAGGCGAGTGATTGTGTGAATGAAACCTGGGGCTACGAAGGGGGGACGGGTGCGGTTCCTCACTACACTGCCTAGGCGCCCGGAGCTACGGGGACGAAACAGCGGGAGGCGGAAAAGACGGAAGACCTTCACCTCCTCTGACCCCCGCAGAACCCGCCGGGAGTCTTTATTGTCAATCAGCTGATGACGGCACAAGCGAAATCCCACCCCTCGAGCATTATCTCCGAACACGCGCCCGTTTGCAGTCAACTCATCTCCTCTCATGAAACGGGGCAGCCCCACCCCTTCGGGAAAGAAAAAGAGGAAGGCAGGCCCGGCTGAACTTCCCACCCCCTTGTCGAGCTTCTATTGGTACCGTAGGTGGTCCGGCCGTCGCGATTGGCTTTTCCGCGCAGCCACTCGGAAATCGCCCCTGCTGGGCGGTGCTGGCATCTGCCGTTCTCCCAGTCCCTCTGCCAGTCAGTCTTTCTTTCTTCTGCACTTTTGTTGATTCGCCCGAGCAAGTACCACCGGGCTGGGCGAAGCGAGGAAGAACAAGAGCACCAGCTCCCGTTAGGAATGTGCCCAGAGGAGCCGCAGAGGCGCTAGCTCGACGAGGGGTGAGCCTGGAAGTGGGCGCCGAGGGAACTTTCTAACAAAAAACCTCTCTCTCTCTCTCTCTCTCTCTCTCTCTCTCTCTCTCTCTCTCTCTCTCTCTCTCTCTCTCTCTCTCTCTCTCAAAATTGTGGTTTGGTTTCTCCTCTGGGAAGGTGGAAAGAATAGACGGTTGAGTAACCTCTGGTTGTGCGCGCGGCGCCTTTTCTTTCTCTGCGCGAGGTCGCAGGTTCGAGCCACTCCCCCGTCCCCGTGGAAGACCCGCACCCGTCCTTCCTTCCCCTTGCCTCTAGTCCCGACCAGTGGAGATAACGGGGGATGCGCGGGCACCGGGGGGCGAGCGTGGGCGGGGCGGGACGGGGCGGGCTGGGGAAGCGAGAAAGGGGGCGTGTGTTCTCCCGCGCCCCTCATGCGGGGGCCGTCGGCAGAGGAGAAGGATGTAGACTCGGGCATGAGGATCGGCTTAGCTTGCCCGGTCAGGAGGTCGGCTTGTGATGGCTTAGTTTTTAGTACCTCCTGTTTTGGCCTCGGCTCTTTTAGCTCCGATCCTTTTTTACCAACTTGAAAGGGAGCCCTTGGAAGAAACAGGAGTCGGGTCGGGCGGCGTAAGAGCGACGGCGAGCCGCGCCTGCTTTGAGCCGCCGCTGCCACCTCCTCCCTTCCCCGCGCGTTCCAGAGGACGGTTCCAGCAGAGACGACCACGGCCACAGAAAGGTGTCGTGTCGCTTTCAAGGACTACCTACCTGTTGAAGTGGCTTTTAATACGCGAAAGAGAATGCCGCGACAGATCTATTATTAATCTTTGTGCGTCAGCGAGGGTTTTTGTTTCCTTTTGTGCTGCGCGTTTGCGTGTGTGTCCGACGTACTTTTGCGCGCAGAAGCAAGTAGAACAATTGTTAGAGAAGTTCGAGAAGGGTAGCTGAGTTCGTCAGTTGCAGCAAAAACAGCCTCGCGGCGCGTTAAAGAGGAACGCATTTGTTGTAACGTCACCTTTCTTGGGCTCGAGTCCACTTCATCAGACGCCTCAGGTGCCACAAATATGCACACACATAGGAAGGCATGTGGGGAGGAGAGCGGATATGAATTTCATGGAGACCTACTTGGCTTTGTGGTTTCCTGTCCTTTAAAGAATCAACGCAGCCCCAAAGCCCTGTTGAATAGATATTGTTTACTTACCGTCGAGTCGCCTCCGACTTAACGGGACCTTATAAATGGATGCCCTCCAAAAGGGTCTGTCTTTGACAGCCCTTGCTCAGCTCTTTGTAACCTTAGTGGATTTCAGGGTATGCAGGGTTTCCGAAAAGAGTTTTCCCTGATGAAAATTTGTTTTGCCAACAGCTTCATTCAGAAATTAAATTGTATACAACTTCATTTTCTGCTAAAAATAATTAAACAAGATTGTGAAACTGCCCACATGGGGTTTCTCCTTTAGACCCCTCATTATTAATACAGTGATCAACAGTGAACATATACTGTTGAAATAGTTTGAAACTTGTAGCATTAGCATTCAGTTTCTGCAAGATGAGGGTGACCTTGTCACCACCTTTATCATCATTAATAAGCATTCTGGACTTGGCTATCCCTGGTATTTTCATTTAAATTGCTCAGGATATTGGCTTTTGTCTTCTCAAGTACCAGTTGGCAAATGTTCTTATATTTTCAATTTAAATGCATTTAACTTGCTTTTTAAAGAATCTGTTTGTGTTCAGGGTAAGATGGCTACCTTTTAATTCCTTAATTATGTTTAAATCTGGTCATGCAAGATTGCCGAGTAGTTGATCAATGAAGGCAATTTGTTACAGTAAGTTTTCCAGTCTGCTTTATAGATTCAGGCACATGTTTTGAGTTGCACTCTTTAAACCTCTGTTTAGGCAGAAACTTCTGTTCCTGCTTTTTCTTTCCTTGTTCCATCTTGAAAGCATGCCATATTTCCTTACCAAGAAGGGCTTTGATCATAGTGAGGGTTGTGCAGGAATCCCTAGGGGCTTTGGGGACATTCTGGATTTGAATGTGGGTCTCCCCTCCTGGTCTGCCTAAGTGCTACACCATGCTGTTCTTCTACAATAATGTGAAAAACACAAACAGTCCCTCACAGAATACCCCTGAGAGCCCTTATAGATCCCCTCATTTCATAAAGAGCATTTTATAGTCCCATCATAAGGTGGATTATATTAATTGCCATTGGGAATAAATATCTTCAAGCCTTGCTCAGTTACTACTTAAAATTGCTTTTTGAGAGTGAGAAGGCACTAAATGTATTTACAAGGCAATCTTGTGGTTACATCCTGTCAGCAGTAGCCAGCACAGCATAACCAGAAGCACAGTCAAAAGCACAAGACTAACTATAGAATCGAAAGACAATATAGCAACATCTACAGATGTGCCTACAACATCCCTGACAGCTCTGTTGCCACCCACCAATCACATAATTGTGTACCTAAGATGCCCTACATTAGTCATACAATGGGACAATGTCATTATAGTGCCACCCTATCATCCATCCCCTTTCCATGTACAATGCACACATGGCTGTGAGGAAGCATCCAGAGTGCATCCCTTATCAGAAGCACCACAACTCATGGAGCAGGAAAATAGGAATTGTGCTTGTAGGTGCCAGACTCCATGGGTTTCACCTCAAACACAGTGTTTACATTGCCAAATGGAAGCAGCAGCAGAACAACAGAAAAGAGTAACAGCAGCCTACAAATAGCTACTTACTGGGGAAAAGGTGCTGGCCAGACACAGGAGGAAAAGGCTACTAATCTACTTGCAACAGATAACTAGTGACATACCACTGTGGATATGGGAGGCCTGTGTGTGGAACCCCAAAGCCATAACTTCCAAGCAGAGTATGAGTCCTGCTGTGGAAACTGGGATCAAATACTGTTCAAAAGCACTGTCATTTAATAAACTCTACTGTCATCTAAGGCTTCCTTTGTGTTATTTTCTGCAGTCTTTTGTTGGCATAAGGTTGCGTTATTGCAGGGAGATTACAAGCCTTGGGGAACATACAATTACTCCTGTTCTATGCTCCTTCCCTGCTATGTTCTGCCTACTCTTCCCTTTATACCCACCTAGCAGCCTTTTCCAGTGCATGTATGTTGCTATGGTACTGCAAAATCACTGCACCGGGGTATCTTTGAACTCTGCCAGTTATGAGGATTTAGAATTGACCATAACCCTACCTAGCAAGTATAACTTGGAGATGAAATTGAATTATCAAATGTGCAAAAATTATGAAAATATCTGTTCTAAATGTAACATATCCTTCAAATCACTGTGTTTCACTGGAATTTATTTACTCTTGCTTCACAAGAGACTGAAATATGAAACAAACTTTGGACAGTCTACTCTAACTGATGTAAAACTATCTACTTTCTTTAGCTTCAGTTATCTGCTTGTATTCCCCAGACTTTGATTTTTGTTATCATTTTACTCTCATTTTACACAGCCACAATGCACTGTGTTAAACTAACAGTAAAGCAGTGCATTTGTTGCTGCATTTTTCATTTTGTTTTGCTTTTGGCTCACTATTTTCAACTGGTATTGAAAGTTGACTGTAAAGGTATATATTCTGCCACTGAAAATGTGTGGATTTTTATAAATTTGCTTTCAGCAGAATCTTAACAGGGAGGCTCAAATTATTGTAGGGTTTCACTCGAAAAAAATGTTTGACTTTATAGCTGTAATTTTGTGCTAAAATCTTGTTTAGTAAAGGGAAAAACAGGTTTTCCTGACTTGTTAATAGTTGTATTATTACTGCTATTGTTATTATTACATTTTATTTATGTACCACCTTTCTTCCTCTTGTAAGGAACCCAGTGTGGCTAACAAGGTTCTCCTCTCTTTTATCTTCAGAGCAAGAACCCTCTGAGGCAGGTTAGGCTTGGAGTCTGTGACTGGCTCAAGTCACCCAGTAAGTTTCATTGTGAGCCAGGGATTAGAACCGAGATCATCTAAGTCCTAGTCCAATGCTCAGTCTTGGAATATTACACGTAGGGAGCAATCTTCTGGTCCCTAGACAGCATCTTGGGGCCTATAGGATATTTTATATGGGTGTATTAAGAGACCTGGGAAGGGGAATCAGAGCTCCCACTTCACTCTACCTCACAGCTAGTGTAGAAAATACCACACTAGTTGCTTTCAGAGGCTGGGAACTCAGCTCCTCAGGAGGGGGTTGGAGAAGGAAGTTCAGAGGCTTACTGATCTCAAGGGCAAAATCAATAGGATTACAACCTTAACAGTTTTTGCTCTATATTTATTACCCAGAACCATTAATCAAGGATGTCAGTACTGTACATATGAAGTAGTTGACCATTTCACGAAGCTCTCTATGCACAAATTCATTTTGCATTATGTGAATCATAAAAGATGTAATTTTTGTGGAATTTTGTATAGCAGTTCAAAATTACAAGCATCTCTCATCCATGTGAATCATACTGTGATGAAATTAGTCTAACACTAAGGCTATTTGTTGTCAAGCATTAAATCTGGCAGAGATTAGTTTGTATACAGCTTAAACCAGGATCTAAACATCTAACTATAAAAAGGATGAAGCCCATTAAGAATATACAATCAGCAATATGAACACATTTTTATGATATTTGAGGGCACAGTCCTATGCATGTTTCGACAGAAAAATGTCTTACAGTTCTCAGTATTCCCCAACCAGCCATGACAATAGGAATGCAGGGAGTTATAGAACTTTTTTCCATCTAAGTATTGTGTCTAAAGTCTTGGGTGAAAACAGATTTCAGTTATGTTTGATCAGTATATTAGGAAGCTTCTCCATAGTATATGATTTTACATCTCTGATGCCTAAAAGAGAAGATTTTATTAATGGCAAATTGTGCTGTGAGTCCTGTGTGCTAGAAGCAGTGCCCAGTGTTGTTGATGTACAGTCCATAACTCAGATTTTAAAACTGTGAAGGCAGAACAGAGGGAGTAACTTCTCTGGGTTCTAGTTAATGCATTTCAGCTTTTTAAAGCATATGATGCATATCTTCATGTTTCTATGGGAGATTAGCACTTCTTAACTGGTATATAGAGAACCTTTTCTCAGAGTTGTTTAACAAGTGACTATAAATTGATGTATTTCCAATAGGGAAGGGATATAGAAATCCTATTTTACCCTCCTGTAGCTGTTGCAGATTGTCAAAGCACAGCTTGTGAAGCAGCCTTTATAGAAATGATCTGGCTGATTGTCTTTAAAAGCAAGGGGAAATATTAAGCTCCTACCTGGCAAGAAATGGTAGTGTAGAGACCTTAAAATGGGGCGCAAGGGACTGTCCCCCATGATATTTCTGTAATACATAAGGCTTTCTATCCTAAGCTGCAACAACAGCACTATTTGCAAGTACATGAGAAAAGCAGGCTTTTGGCTCTGGAATCTCTGAGCTGAGTTTCATGCTCTTGTTTCAGTTTCCCCAGTCAAGTTTAGAATTAATATGATTCTGATAAATTTCCATTTCTTGCACGTGACAAAGCAGAGGAAGCTTTCCATTTTACTTTCAAGCACACAAATAGTAGAGATGGATTCCTATGCACATTTACCAGCAAGTAAGCCCCGCTTAGCTCAGAATGACTTTTTTTAGTGGGCAGACATGTATGAGATTACACTGTAACATAGCTAATCTAGAAATTACAGATTGGTTATTGGTTCTGGTTAAATTGATTAAAAGAAGTATTAATGGATAAATCCTGCTGAAAAAAATCAAGGTAGCATCTGCAAAAGTTATGCTTCACTAACCTTTTAACGTTTGCTGAGTATGTCAAATAGCATGTGGACAAGGTGAACTAATAGATCTTGTTTTCTTGGAATTCTAAAAGGCTTTTGACAAAGTCCCTCACAAAAGATTTCTGAGCAGACTTAGCAGTCATGGAATATGGGGAGAGGTCCTCTTATGGATCAGTCATTGGTTAAGGACGGAAATGGCAGATTCTCCCAATGGAGGAATGGAAACAGCAGGGTCTCACAGGCATCAGTATGATTTTCAACAGGGTAATAAATGATGTTGAATTGGGAGTGAGCAAAAGTCTGTCTGACTGAGGAATACTGGGAGTTGTAAGACTTTTTTCTATCTAAAATGCATAGTATTGCACCCTTAGGATGGTTAAAACAAAAAGGGATTGTGAAGCACTTAAAAAGGATCTCACTAAACTGAGAACTGCCATCAAAACAGCAAATGGTTTCAGTGTAAGCAAGTGTAAAGAGATGCATGTTGTACTGACATCACACACAAGGGGAAGAAGAAATCTTGGTGTTGTGGTATTAAAATGTTAATTCAATATGAAGCTGCTATGAAAAAGGCAAATTCCATGTTGGGCATAATTAGGAAAGTGATAAAAATACAACTGCCAACATTAAACTTTCCTAATATAAATCTATGGTCCAGCGATACTTGATATACTGTGTGTAGGTCTGGACGCTGTACCTAAAAAATGGACATTGCAGAGTTAGGAAGAAAATGCAGGTAGGGGTTACTAAAATGATAAGGGGCTGGGACAGCTTCCCTATGAGAAACGGTTTCAGTATCTGGAACAGTTTAGGTTAGAGAAAAGGTGAGTGAGGGAAGACAAGATAAAGGTGTATAAAATTATGCATGATGTGGAGAGAGTGGTTAAGACATTTTGCACGGTCTTTCATAATACTGGAAGGCACGGTCATCCCATTAAGCTGATTGTTGGGAGAGTCAGAATAGATTAAAAAAGTATTTCTTCACACAGCATGTAATTCAGCTGTGGAGTTCACATCTACAAGACAGAATGATGGGTACAAATTTGGATGGCTTGAAAATGAATATGGACATATTCATGGAGGACTAGTGAGCAATGACTACTAGTCCTTCTGGCTAAATCTGCTGTCTCCTGCCTTGGAAGCAGGATGCTTATGTATGCCTTTTTCTTGGTAACATCTGTGGGACATTTGTTAACTTGGTAACATTTGTTCTTACGCTCATATCCTGCCTGTGGGTTTCCTGTTAGGCAGCTGGTTGGCCACTGTATGAACAAAAGGTTGGTCTAGATCAGGGGTCTCAAACTCAACTTAACTGGGGGCTTCTGGAAGTAGAGTCTGGGTGAGGCTGGGCCGCATCAAGTATTCCACCCCCGCGGTGGTGGTGGGCCGCTCATCCCGCTGCCGGCCCGGGTGCCACCAGCGCTTTGAAGGCCGCAGGGCCCCTCTCCCGTGCCCTGCCCGTCCCGGAAATTGGCCCGCGGGCCGCGAGTTTGGAACCCCTGGTCTAGATGGACCTTTGTCTGATCCTACACAACTTTTCCTATGTTCTTGACTAAACAGCCTCTTAATACTTTTGTGGACTAATTTGTCAGGCATATATTTCTTAAATTAAGTGCTCCTAAGCCATATTTCTTGCCAATATGGTTCTCAGTGTTTGTTCAACTGGAGTTTTCTTTAGGAACAGAGATAGCTGTAATTGTAAGTGAAAATAGAATCAATGCATAGAAAAAAAAAAACCTTTCAAACTACATGTTTGGGTAAAGCCAATCTTGATTGATCTTGAAAATGTTGTTTTATGTATTGCTTAAAATGACAGGGAGAGGACTACACCCAACTTCTGCTTTTTTTGTTCCTAAATCAGCTCTTTTAGGAACTACATTATAAACAAACTTTTTTCCTGAAATGTGCTGTTGTTTTGATTTCAATGCTATTTTGCAATAATTCAACAGTTTTGACTTCATATGTTTGCTATTAATTATTTTAAGGGCAATAAAACAGTACAGTAGTATCTATCATGTGAGGTTAGTTCCACTTAAAGTGGGGAATGACATGGGATGGAATGGGAATAGGTTTTATTGTTATACATTTTTCCAGAGTTAAATAATTTCTGTGAAAAGGTACACTCTTCAAAGAATTTCAGCTTAGAACAAAACTACATATAATTCTGCTAATTATATAACATGTAGCTGAGAATTCCTTTTATTTACCCTAGTGTAAATGCATGTGGCTCAGCTGCAGGGGAGAATTATTTAATAGACTTATATACCACTGACCATATTTAAAAATATTTCTTATGGGTACAATCATATCTCAGCATTCCCAATCCAGCAGTGTGAGGAAGCCTCTGCATATAGACCTCAGTGCTTGGAGGCTTCTCCAGATTCTCAGGATCTAGATTGAGGTGGGGGCAGACTTGCTCAATGGAAGAGTCACAAACCATAAATGTCAGATATTTGACAGCTGAGAGTGGGGCATTGGCTGGCAGCAGTGGCAAGTGGGCACCCACAGGCAGCAACAGCAGGTGGTGAGTGGCAATTGGGTGCCCTCAGTGGTAAGTGGCAAGCCCCAAAATAAACTCAGAGCTGCATGTGGCTCTTGAGCCTTGGTTTGGCCATCCCTACTCCAGATGATCCACACGTAGACATCTGTTTGCAAAGGCTTGCTTGCCTTGCACAGCCATGAACAATATTATTATTGTATAGAGTATTAATTGAAAGTGGGGTGAGCAAATAGAAGAATTGGCTGTCTTCAGACAGACAGATAAGACTAGGTGTTACATGTGACCAGTAATCTAAAAAGCTGACCTGTTAATCATATGGTTTGGACCTGAATGGCTTGAAACTGCTAAGAGCCTGCTGTTCCATAGCATCCTGCTGTTGACATCGGGTGGATGTTTGCTTCGACAATGTATAAACGTTGTTTCTGTTGTGGGTTGTGCGTAAATTAATAACATTTAACATAATGGAAGACAGATCCTTTTGGTTATCTTGCTATATGTCTTATGTTGACATAAAATAAATTAATTCAATTGTATTTCAGAATAGATATATTTAAAAACAATGTGTTTTTCAAGTTATATACGGAAGCAGAATTCCTCTGGGTTTATGTTTGAAGGTTTTAGCCTGATTCTCTGTCAGTATTTGTTGATCTGACAGTAGGAACTATAAATGTTTATCTCATTTAGTGAACCAAATTATAGGGATATAGGAAATAAGTTGCATTTTTTAGAAACCTAGTGTATATATATTCATGTTAGTTTTGCTGTATTTCACCCTGGAACTTGTGAAGTGTTTCTAGAACTACTTTTTGTGTAAATCATATTTTTGGTTATATAAAGGAGCAACCAAGCACTAGGATAGAAGAGTGATAAATATTCTGGTTGGGAAACTGCTGGAGTAGCAGCAAATTGTTAGATCAAAAATAACATAATATAGTTGAAAATGTCTTTAAAATGTTGCACCCTGATACAACATATCAGATTATAGAACAGTAGTCAGAATAGTGCTGCGTACATCTAGTTTAAAGTAAATAGAAAAGGAGATGGGATAATATAAAAATATAAAACTAAAGAGAGAGAAAATAATGGTTCAGTGTGGCTGCCTGTAACCCTCCAAACTCAGAGGATTATGGACATCCTATGGAGGGCAGAAGAGGTAAGGATTGCACCCATACTTCTGGGCCTTCAAAAAAAGTTTTTCCCTGAGTAGAGGAGGTTGAGATATCATCAGGGTTCCTTGAAGCACGATGGTGCCTTGCCCCCAGAACACCCATGAAGTGCTGAATTTGAAGTAAATCTTCTGACTTTAGAGCCGCAGTTGATGTGGGAAGAACTGTGTTGGCTGCAAACCTGGAGGGAGGGTGCTCTGACAGTGTCCAGTGCCTTTATTCAACTTAGACAGCAGAAGAAAGCAAGATCCAATAATTCTATCTAGTTTGTGAACAGGAAATTGATTGTCCCTGCTGCTTATACAAGAATTGTAATCATCCTATAGAGATACCATATGGATGATTGCCTAGAAACAAGTTTACAGAAATTGTTCCTATTTTCCCTCCCAATTGTGATGGTCCTGTATTTTAGAAATGGGCTAAAAGCAATAAATTGACATCACAGTGGCACCACAAAAACATTGCTGCTTTAAATAATTCTGTGTTATTTTCTTGGAAAGGTCTTATTTGGGTGACTCATATTCCTTATAAGCCCCATTACAATGATGCTTCTTGAAGGCAAGAGAAATTTCTCTCTCACTTGACAGAGGGATATGCAACTTAGATTTGAAAGTTAGCTTATGTCTTTGTAACTTCATATCAGTAGAAACTAGAAAATGCTTAGAGATTCCAAGGAGGTAGTTGATAAAGTTCAAATTGTTTTATTTCCCATCTTTATCAAATGCAACTCTTCTTAATAGAAAAAATCTTAAGAGTTTTTGTTGTTCTTCAGTGAGTCACTTGTTCTCTGTAGTTTATAAATACACTCTTGTCTGGAGTTTTAGGTTTCTGCACTGCCTTGACAGCTTCTGAAAACACATGTTATCTTTTCTCCTTGTCCTTTCCTGCAACTAGATTGAAGTAGACAAAACTGGACAGATATGTTTGTGTTAGATGTCATGTAGCAGAACATCACAAAAGCACAACTTGTTTTATTTAGGGTGTTTTTTGTTTAAGTTCTCATATTCATGCTGAACTGGGATATGAGGCTTATGGATAAAGTAGAGACAGTCATGAGTCATGAACCAGAAACTTGAGGACTAGCTAATGTTTTTGGCCAGATTCACTGCAACTCTTGCACTGCCCAATTTTATTTCAGCATTCAGAAAGCTCACTTCACTGTGTTGGACACACTTTCTTGCATCTGGCAAAGTGGTCTTTGTTGCTTCTCATATCCTTCCCAGCTCCCTAAACTGTCAACTTGCTCTCAGGGTTTTCCTGTAAGCAAAGATGAAAATGAAAAGTTATTGCAGATTGGATCTGTTGATGTTGATATCTCCAAATCCAACCTCTAAGAAAAAGGAGACGAGGAAAACTAGTGTCATAGGCATGTATCAGTGAGCTTCTCCCAGTGTCTCATTTGTACACTACACATATTTTTAAAGATACATTCCATGCTCATGGGATTTTTGCTATAAGATGGTAAAAAATATGAGTAGTCCCATGGCCTTCTGTGTTTTTACCTGCTTCATCTGGCTAGAAATGCATCATTTTGTATATGTTGAGTAGTCTTAATTGTGGCATTTAAAAGGGTTGGACTGAATTCCAAAAGTTTTAATGAAGTCTGATAATAGTGAGTCTATTGGTGGTACTACCTTCTGTCATCTCTTGCCTATTCTCTACTTTTTTGAGATTTAACAGATTTACCCCTTTTGCAACTGTAATTAGGTCTCATTTCCTCCTATCTATGTAACTAATTTGTCAAGCATAGACAACATATGGCTGTAAGCAAATGCATTTGTATGCAGCCTGTGAGCATTCAAATTTTGAGAAATCCATCATGTCCCCCTGTATGCAGAAAATAAGGGTGGTGGCAGTGTTCCCAGTTGTTAATCTTGCTTCTTTCAAGATAATGGGAAATGAATTGTTTGAAAGCCAGTTTTATGGTGTGCTGACTCAAAATTTTGACCATTAGCAAGCAGAAATACCAACATGCGTGGTTAACCTTGCCAACTTGAGAAGTAGAGTTAAAGGTGATGATGCTTCTTGAACTGGAAATGCCACACTAATCCTACTGTTGGCAGGCTGTACATATGAGGAAAATATCTTCATTTCTGAACCTTAGAATGTATTCAATGAGATATTGATGAACATGATGAAACATGTTCTAAACATGTTTTGAAAAAAATCAAACTGGACATCTGCTGGTCTTCAGTCACTATAGGTTTGCCTTACTTGGTTTCTTTAATACTTGAACATCTAAGAGAAGAAGGGAGTTGCACTGATTGATACACATAACTGGGAATAATATAAACTTATTCTGCATAATATATATCTACCCTTAGCGTTTCTAATTTTGCAGAAAACAAAAGTAGAGGACAATAAATACTTACACCTTTTCCCCAAACCTTAAGGTTGAAGATTTCAGAACCAATGTTGGAAGATGTTGGCTGTGGACACAGGGGTTGTAGAAGAATGGTTATCAGAATTCAAGGTAATGTGAATCTTAAAATCCATATTGATTATCAAGAATTAAATGCTGGCTGTACCAGAGTTGATAGCTACTCCTCTGGGTAATGTGTTAGCCTAGGCCTGGGAGATGCATCATCATGATCCTCACTCAGTTATGAAACTCATTGGGTTCCCTTGGTCTGCCCACAAGACCTCCACAAGGTTCTTGTGAGGGTTAAGGTAAGGGGAAAGGAAAATCTTGTATTTCCTAACCATACCTGCATTTAACCCTCACATCAAAGGGGAAGGAGGGGAGGAAGAGTAGGATATGATATGATATGATATGATATAATATAATATAATATAATATAATAGAGACCTGTTGATAATCACCTTTTTGATGCAAACATTAGATCTTAAAATATAAATTGTTTCAAGTCCAATATATAACACCAAAATTCTTAAGAATACATTAGTGAATGTTGAGGGCTTGAAAGATTATTAAAATCCAAATAAAGGCAATATGACAAAATGTTGGTTGCTGTGGAAGAATGGTTATTGGAAGTCCAGTTTATGTAGGCATAAATTGCCCATTGTGTGCCACAAAATGGAAAGGCAAAATAAACATGTGAAAATCAATGTGCTATTGAATTATCTTTATTTTTTCTAAAACAAATTCTTGGATTCTCCTCATTTGTGCTTGGAATCAGTGATGAGAAGTAGGAATAGAATTTCTGCCTTTTCTATGCAGTTCATGTTAATAGCTCCTGATTCAGCAGTAACACTAATGTAGTCCTTAGGATTCTAATCTATGGCAAAACAGAATTTTAGTGTTTGTATTAGTCTTTTAGCATAGTTATAGGGAAAATGTTATTTTCCTAGAATTTGGTCCTGATAACTCAACAGTCTAGTGTCGATGAATGATTTTTTCTTTTCAGCAAGCCACAGATGGGTCAGATTATTCCATTTGAGAAGTATAAGAAGTGCCAGACTAAAATTATAACTTTAGTTTAAGGACAGGGTATAGATCTTGAGGGTATGAATTCACCATTACTTCATTCTTTGGATTTCTTTTTGTGATTAAATAAGAAAGAAAAAGCAAGTTGGGTTAAGATCTGGTCTGTATTGGCTTTGCTTGTGAGCACCTCAGTTGCTAAGCAAATGGGTAGACTTTGTGTCCTATAAAGCTTTTAAACTGAAGTTTCAGATCTCCTGGCATTGCCTGTTTTTAAGACTTATTTTTCAGAATCTTTTCCTGTAGAAGCTCCCTGCCTTGACTATGTTCAGCTAAAGACCCATCCTTCAGAGGCAGCAGCTAAAAGTTGAAAGCAGTTATAATGTATGAAACAGTGAAATGTGTGGCTGAGATTGCAGATTTTCAACATGTGTTTTTCTCATCCCTTGTAAAAATTTTATCCATATTGGCTTCTGGTGGGTTCTGCATTTGCCTTGCTTGGCTTCTTCTGATACTGCACGCTTACTGCCGATTTATTACTTCTGTAATAAATCAAGAGCATGGTCACAAAAATGGGGTAGTTAGTGGATGATTAATGGCTTGTATGGTGCACCTGAAACATTTTGTCTTTGAAGGAACGCTGCATTAAGGAGGAAGCAATTCAGGTCTTTGACAGTGAAATTCTCCATAGGAAAATGCCCTCCTTAGAAGGAAAAATCAAGGAAAGAAAATCTAAGAATAGTCATATTAAATTAACATATGAACTCAGTAAATTGATTAAGGATATTGTTGGTTTTATTTTTCTGAACCTTTTTAATATTTTAATGAAGAGTGGGGTTTCTTCTATTTTAGGGTTTTTTCTGCTTTATTGGAAGGTATCAAATACTATGATTTTTGGAATTTGAAGGACTGTGAACTTTTAATAAATTTGTTACTGATATACTACAAAAATACAAAACCAACACAGGAAAGCAGAACTTACAAAAGGAAGGTGACAGTGCAACTGCTGCATATTTATTCAGATATAAACCTCTCAATCTATTTCTTAAGAGTGTTTGTATGACACATGTAATAAACTGAAATATTAGGAGTAGCAATTTGTCAAGATAGTAGTAAGTATGGTTTTAAACTGCAGAAATGAAGCCTACTTTACTTTCATTCAGAACTTGTCTCCTTAAAATACTAGTAAGGAGTATTTTTTCTTTTAATCTTTTTTATTATTTGTAACAAAACAACACAAAGCAACAACAATACCAACACAAAAACATATGTTGTTGTTGTTGTTAGTCGTGAAGTCTGGCTGAGTGATTAAAAGATATTTAAAATAAGATATTTATTAAAGATATTTTGTTGTTGTTAGTCGCGAAGTCGTGTCCGACCCATCGTGACCCCATGGACAACATTCCTCCAGGCCTTCCTGTCCTCCACCATCCCCCGAGTCCATTTAAGCTCACACCAACTGCTTCAGTGACACCATCTAGCCACCTCATCCTCCGCTGTCCCCTTCTTCTTTTGCCATTCTTTTGTTCCCAGCATTAGGCTCTTCTCCAGGGAGGCCTTCCTTCTCATTAGGTGGCCAAAGTATTTGAGTTTCATCTTCAGTATCTGCCCTTCTAAAGAGCAGTCAGGGTTGATCTCCTCTAGGACTGACCAGTTTGATTGCCTTGCGGTCCAAGGGAGTCGCAGGAGTCTTCTCCAACACCACAATTCAAAGGCCTTAATCCTTCGGCGCTCGGCCTTCCTTATGGTTCAGCTTTCACAGCCATATATTGCTACTGGGAAAACCATAGCCTTGACTATACGCACTTTTGTCGGCAGGGTGATGTCTCTGCTTTTTAGTATGCTGTCTAGATTTGCCATAGCTTTCCTCCCCAGGAGCAAGCGTCTTTTAATTTCTTGGCTGCAGTCCCCATCTGCGGTGATCTTGGAGCCCAGGAAAATAAAATCTGTCACTACCTCCATTTCTTCCCCATCTATTTGCCAGGAAGTGAGAGGACCAGATCCCATGATCTTAGTTTTCTTAATGTTGAGTTTCAAGCCAACTTTTGCACTCTCCTCCTTCACCCACATCAAGAGGCTCTTTAGTTCCTCTTCACTTTCTGCCATGAGAGTGGTATCATCTGCATATCTGAGGTTGTTGAAATTTCTCCCAGCAATCTTAATTCCAACTGGTGATTCATCCAGCCCTGCCTTTCTCATGATGTGCTCTGCATATAAGTTAAATAGGCAGGGTGACAGTATACAGCCTTACCGAACTCCTTTCTCAATTTTGAACCAATCAGTGGTTCCGTGTCCAGTTCTAACTGTTGCTTCTTGACCCGCATATAGGTTTCTCAAGAGAAAAATAAGATGGTCTGGTACTCCCATCCCTTTAAGAACTGAGTGATTTGGACCACAATTTGTTGTGATCCACACAATCCACACAATCAAAGGCTTTAGCATAGTCAATGAAGCAGAAGTAGATGTTTTTCTGGAACTGCCTAGCTTTCTCCATGATCCAGTGTATGTTGGCAATTTGATCTCTAGTTCCTCCCCCTCTTCGAAATCCTGCCTGCACTTCTGGTAGTTCTTGGTCCACATACTGCCGGAGCCTAGCTTGTAGGATTTTGAGCATCACTTTGCTAGCATGTGAAATGAGTGCAATGGTGCCATAGTTTGAACATTCTTTGGCATTGCCCTGCTTTGAGATCGGAATGTAAACTGATCTTTTCCAATCCTGTGGCCACTGTTGAGTTTTCCAAATTTGCTGGCATATTGAGTGTAGCACTTTTACTGCATCGTCTTTTAGGATTTTGAATAGGTCAGCTGGAATCCTGTCACCTCCACTAGCTTTGTTGTTGCTCAGACTTCCTGAGGCCCATTTGACTTCACATTCCAGGATGTCTGGCTCGAGGTCAGTGTCCACCCCATCATGGTTATCAGGGACTTTAAGCTCTTTCTTGTATAGTTCTTCTGTGTAATCTTGCCACCTCTTCTTAATCTCTTCTGCCTCTGTTAGGTCCCTCCCATTTTGGTCCTTTATCATGCCCATCTTTGCAAGAAACGTTCCCTTCATATCTCCAGTTTTCTTGAAGAGATCTCTGGTCCTCCCTATTTTATCGTTTTCTTCTATTTCCTTGCACTGTTCTCTTTCTCCCTTGTCTTTCACTTCCCTTCTTTCCTCAGCTATTTGTAAAGCTTCCTCAGACAGCCATTTTGCTTTCCTGCATTTCTTTTTCTTTGGGATGGTTATAGTTGCTACCTCTTATACAATGTTGCGAACATCCGTCGATAGTTCTTCAGGCACTCTGTCTATCAGATCTAATTCCTTAAATTTATTTGTCACCTCTACTGTATATTCATCAGGGATATGATTTAGGTCATACCTGAGTGGCCTAGTGCTTTTCCCTACTTTCTCCAATTTAAGCCTAAATTTTGCAACAAGAAGCTCATGATCTGAGCCACAGTCAGTTCTTGGTCTAGTTTTTACTGACTGTATAGAGCTTCTCCATCTTTGGCTGCAGAGCACATC